GAAAGCTGCAGGATGAGGACTGAGGCAGCTGGGAGATCAATATTGATGTAACCCAGTGATCGTCCGATGGATGCTCAAGCCTGTGTCGTCGTTGTGGCAGCATGCACGTTGAAGATAGTTTAGGGAAGCATTTAGGAAGTTTTAGTAGTAATGTTTAGAAATTTGTTAGGATCATTCAACCAGGCTAGAGTCGCTGAAATAAAGAGTTAGGATTTAGTCAGGTTCCCTAATTAGCTAGGATAGCTGACGAGTAATTATATTTTGATTTGTTTGATTAGGATGTGGTCATGGTCTGCCCTTTTAGATAGGTTTTTGGCAGACTAAAGCCATAGCCTCCTCGGGGCTTTACTTGTTGGTAAGGTAGTAGCTTCTGAGCAGTGTGTGGCTAGCCTATAGTAAAGGCTGATCACTTATGTAAGTTGCCTATCATAGGTAGGGCACCAGCTAGGGATGTTCACCCCTTCAGTTGTGAGGAAGAGGGATGTAGTCTAGGCTCTACTCTATGAGTAGAATCACTGGCTGAGTGAATATAGTTTTGTATTTAGAATGTGTTTGAAAAAATGAAATAAAAAGAATAGAACATCTTGGGAGTTCGAGATGTAACCTGAAAAGTGAAAATATGTAAAAAGTACAATAAAACAAGTTTTGAAGATTATCTCAGTTTATTTACAAAAGTACCTCTCGCTACGCAACACGAGCTACGCCCTAGCTTACAGTACTTACCACAATTGATCCCTATCATCATATGACATTTGCCTCCACTTTCTTGACCTATACGAGTATGATGACGGTGCGTCAGCCGAACGACTTCGCCTTTCTGATCGTGACCGTTCTCGAACAGAAGTACGGCTTCGAATAGATGATGATCGACCACGACTTTGGTGATCATCACAGGTACTTGAACGGGTACTGTTAGAAGATCTACCAGGACTGGATGATAGAAGTGACTGTGGAGAATTCGGAACCCTCTGTCGATCAAGACTGGTTTCTCCGCCAGTGATACGCCTTTGCGGGCGTCTCCGGTGGACTCGGACTTGGGTGTGGACGATGTGACGGACATGTTTGTCTTCCTCGGTTAGGTGTGGCCAGGGCGTCTGTCTCGCGAGCAGCTAGCGCGTCTTTGTAGCGGTCTATTTGAGGGCCTGAAGCGAGGAGACGCGTGGGACACGTGAGTTGCCCTTTAAGTTGGAAGCTATGTCCGGACATTGTCGCAGGACACTGCGACTGGCATCTCCGGCACTAGCCCGGAAAGTTAGTAGAGGATAAGCTAGATATCCTCCGGTCCCTCCAACCGCTTAGGTTATTGGGAACTGGAGAGACGTTGTTTTTCGGCGTCGGGAAGTGAGCATGCCTTACAGTTCCGTTACCAATGAGGAGATTTGGTAGAGTACTCAGAGTCGCCCGCTTAACGGTGGCAACCGCTGGTTGTGCAATGCGCAACGGGAAGTGAGCGTGACTACAGATCCGGTACCTATCTGGAAAATAGGGAGAGCACTGTACGTGCACCCGGGGCGGCTCACCCGAGGCACTAGCCTCTCGAAGAACCGAATGAAGTCAAGTGACAAAGGTCTGTGACAACCCTGTACACTAACTGATCTGGGGTCAGAACCTGAACTTATAAGGTTCCTGTGCGCGCACAGGTTATAGTGAGCTTCCCGTATACCCTCAAGGTCGGTAGGGAGGATCACTACAATCAAAACTAACGTAGATAAATATGGGGCTGATCTGGGCTGGTGAGAGTTTCCGCTGATCGACTTTCTGGATACAGATACGACTTTATTAGATATACGGCTTGCTAATAATAACTAACTAAAATAATAACTGCGATGACTACGACGACGATTAGATGGAGACGATATGAGAGCATTCAATCCAGGTTTAGGTTCGATTTCTTCTGAGCTCATAGAGGAGCTAGAACGTGACAATGAAGAGTCACTATCACTTTCTGTCTTCTGTTCTCAATGTTCAAGGTCAGATTCACCTAACTCCGATTTGTTAATGTTTCCGATGATTTGTGCAACCAAATCGCATGTTAATGTCCCTAAAAACAAAAACAAAAATTAAGCAATAAAAAAACTAATCTAATCATTTCCATCCGGACAAGCACGATCGTGTTTTATGAGTTTATGACTGAATAAAAACCAAATTTTCTATCTATTCATTGTTTAATTATTTTTTATGTAAAATATAACATATACTTAATAAGAAAATATACCGTTAGGCATAGACGTACCGTTAGGTCAGAAAACATGAAATGATGAAATTTAAAAAAATGTTCGTCACGTACACGCCCACAGTTGTCGCTCTCGGCACAGGTGTGTAACCCTAGAACTAGAACACGGCCACACTGCTTTAGCAGCGAATATTAATCAAACGAACAAACGATCGGTGTCGATACGACGCGTATTTGAAAACTTTTATACCTAAATTTTTTCAAAGTTGAGCGCACGATCGTATCGTTCTGTGCTGTAAGGGTAGTGCTTTTTAAATATCGTCATAATAGAAAAGCAATGTTTGGTCCAAAAATAAATTTATACTTCTAACAAAATTTATTCTTCTCAAGTCACCAAAACCACTCTGCTTTGAAAACCGTTTCACTAAATCAATTGAAATTTGGTATAGAAGTAGTGTGACCACGTAGCTAACGTGCAATGAGCCATTTTTGTGTTTGTTCTTAGATTACGTCATTATTTTAGAGCTTATGTAATTTTATTTTTGTTTTCGACTAAAATATTGAATTTTCTAAAAGTTCCTGACTGAAAAAAAATGTACTACCAGAATTTTGCTGCCGACCTTAAAAACTACCTTAAGATGTATGATTATTTACACATAAAATTGTAGTGTTGTAATTATTGTAACATTGTCAGAAATTAATATCACATGGACGAAGTCACTACAATTTACGATTACTATCAAAAAACGCGATTTGGACAAATTGAATTTAATTTCTTCAAAGTATATATGTGTACGTATATAACTATATAATAATACTATAAACTATTATTTTTTAACTATTAGTTTGTTCGAATATGACAATATCCGTTTGTCACACCTGACACGGGGAAAGAGGAACGTATGTTTCTCTTACTCTGTAAGTACTAGACCCTCTTACCCCAACAATGTTTTTGGCGGTTAGGATTTTGATTCCAATGAAACTCGTATTATTTGTTGTTTTTGGTCTGAAATAAGTAATAAAAAGTAAATTTTCGAAACAAGAAATTGGAAAAATATAATTTTAAGAACTAATTAAATATTGTGTAGAACGTTTGTGTTATAATAAGACCATTGGTTTGTGTCTATATAAATAACGGCAAGTAAAAAGTGACTTCAGTGACTTTGGTTATTTTTTTGTATATATACATTCTGGCGATTTTATAAAACCTTTGCTTCAAAATTTTTACTACCTTTAAAAGTAACTAGTACTAAACATTCCAAAATGTGATTTTCTGAACCAGACCTGCATATTATTAGCTTATTTTCACAAATTTTCATTAGACTTGTGCCTGATCCCTAAAATAGATATTTAGTTCATCTAGTTAATTTTAGTACCTTAGTTAGTTAGTTCGTCTTGTTCTTGCCTGGACATTGATCGAACGCTCCAAACTTCAAATTGTGGAACCAACTCCCGGCGCATGTATTCCCTCCCCTCTATAACATCGGGTCCTTCAAACGTAGTGTGAAGAAGCATTTGGCCAGACCGGCAAAATGATAGTGACGGAGTGAAGATATTTGTGTTTTCCATCCGTCATTCTCATCTCTGGACTCTATTCGCACTTTACATCAGGCGCGGTGCAGTCATTTTGCCGAGTCACAATAAAAAAAAAAACTAGTAATTTTATTCACATGAACTACTACGGACTTCTAGTATATGAGGTCAATACTACACTATACTAAATATTTAAAAATACAATTTGTATGGAATCGGTACTGTTTGATTTTCTTTTATATTTTACAGGTTTAAAGACTGTCATTTTAACTAAATATCCTTTTTATTTACAAAATAAGATTTTTAGTTAGAGTGGTGTGTTTAAAAATCAATAATTAGGTACAACTATTTGAGATACCTACCAAAAATATTACTTTTTTGCAAGCTTGTTTATATACATAATGTAGGTACTGTAAATTGGGACGTAGCTCGTGTTGCGTAGGCTCGTGTAGCGAGAGGTACTTTATGAATATAAACTGGGATAATCTTCAAAACTTGGTTTATTGTACTTTTTTACATATTTTCTAATTCAGGTTACATTACGAACTATCAAGATGTTCTATTCTTTCTTATTTCATTTTTCAAACACATTCTATTCTAAATACAAAACTATATTCACTCAGCCAGTGATTCTACTCATAGAGTAGAGCCTAGACTACAGTACGTAATAGAGACTTAGAACGAGCTGGGAACGTTCAATCGCGCATCCCACTCAAACTTGTACTAAAAGTAGTGAAAGATCGCTATTTGTTCTGCTCGCACCGTTCCTACTGTACAGGTGAACTATCAACGCAGACAGTTCCTCGTTCGTACTGAACTAAAAAGAATGATGAACTATTAAAACCGTGCATGACGAACTCATGTCGGTCAGTGTAGGGAATATATTCCTAATAGTTCGTAGTTCATGAACTATACAAGCTTAATTTTCATTAGACATAAGCATTTTCAACTTTTATCTGGAATCAAATGGAAAAAAACGAAAAGAAAGAAAGAAAAGAAAAAAGTTTAGAAAAAAGTTTTACTTTTCTTACATGAGCTAAAACTAGTCAGAACTGACCCTCAAGCTGTAAGCGGTGGTTGTCGAAGCTTGTAGACGTAGGGGAAATAAATAGGCTTTAGAGGATGGAAAAAAATAAAAAATAGGCACAAAGGCACAGTCGCAAAACCCGCGCACGATACTAAAATGAAAGGAGAATATGGGTGATTGATTAAAACGTGTGCTGATTAGTGTTTCTGAACGATATAGTATGGTGTCAAAATGACATTTGTGATTTTTTGTTTCCTGTCTGTTTCTCCTCTCGATTTTTAGCACAAATTAGAAAATATAAATTTTTATCATAATTTTGCGGTATGGTGATGGGACAAATTCCCTTTATACTTAGCGCTAATTGATTTCTTTTCTTATTTTTTGCTAGATGTAAAATGTTAAATAGTGGGAGTTAGCCCTGAAGGAATGTATCACATACTTCGAGTGATACTGTATCGGCTTTGGGTCGTGTCAACTCTCACACTATTTTCATCTGTTCTCGTGTTTTGGTTCTATGGATTTTTCACTGCAATCGCGGCGTTTATCCTGGGAATTTCAGGTAAAACTGCAAAATTTTACATACATTAAGTTGCTTATTGACAAACAACAAAAAAATCGCTTTTGACCTACATTAACAAAAATAATGCTACAGCAACAACAATCAACTACAATCTTAAGATACAATTGAAAAAATTGAATTTGAAATATTCCTTTTCGTTTTACAGCGTATTTTAGGAAGTTATTTATAAGTTTAAGTTATTTGTTGTATCCATTAATTGAAATCAGCATTTTTTTGTGAAGAGGTTATATCCTTGTATGCAGCTAAGCGCACACATTGTATACAGGTCTATACTTCTGGGAAGAAAGGGCATAAAAGCCAAGATATAGAGTTTGTGAAGGTGCATTTCCACTGGTGAGACAAGATGAGGATTGATATTGCATTTCAATTCTCTCTTAGAGCCTCTTTAGTGAAAATGGTCTAGATGCCAAGGATATATGAAATGAGAATTGAAAAACTTGTTGTTTGTCAATTAAGTAATTTAGTGTGTATCTGGTACTCTATATGGTATTTCAATATTTTTACAAACCCATGTGATGACTGTTAATATCAATTATGATCTTGCAACAGCTATTATTGGCAAGTTTTGGTGGAAATAGACCTATGAAATTTAAATTTTCATCTCACCTCACTGTTGGCCTACCACCATACCATTATTGTAATTGTTTCTTTTTCATAGGTATCATGTACACTGCCCAGGACCTTCTACTCTACTACCCGAACGATCCTCCGGACTCCAGGATATTTGTATTTCAGCCAAGCAGCTATAAGCTGCCATATGAAAGCATTAAAATAAAAAACAAGGATGGTTTTAAAATTCACATGTTCTTAATAAAACAGGCCAATAATAGCAACCATCGACCTACAATGATATTCTTTCACGGGAATGCTGGAAACATGGGTCAAAGGTTAGAAATGACATTTTATTGATACTTCTATAGGTAATATGTTAATTTTGGCTTGTAGATGTCAGACCTAAGCTAGATTTAAAGAATCTCAATGAGCTTGTTAAATCAATGTTGATTTATAGTTTTCTGTAGTAAAAACATTTTTGGCAATAGAAAGTTTAAAGAAGTAGTGTCAGTGATTGAAAGCAGCAGTTTCCTTATGGAAGAACAAATAACAGTTTGTTGATCTTTTTGCCCTTTGTTAGTTTGTCCAAAAATTAATTAAATATGTGGTGGAGAGTGGAGATGAACATTTATGTGGTGTTAGTAGAACCCTTCTTCAATATAGAACCCCGACACAGTGCCTTAGAATAGTGTTTTGTTGCTACTATGGGCATAAGATTGCTTTAAATTAAATTACAAAATTTCTATTGCATTCACAATTAACAGAATTGCTATTTACTTGCATACTTACCTTGGCACAGTAGGCCAAACTAGTTCTTGGTCTCAGCAGGTGGAAGACGCCATTCTGGTGTGTTATTGCTTGTGCATTTAGGGAAACAACAGTATATTGTTTATCAAGGGTCTAAAACGAGTCAATATATACCTGAGGTGGTTAGAGCTTTAGCAAGCGTGTTTATTACTCCGAGGGTTTATAATGGCTTTTAGTCCCGAGGTGAAAACTTAACTTTTCACTCTGATCACGAGAAATAAAAATACTTCAATAGTTTATGCTCTATAACAAAATTACAATCCAAAATTCTGAAGTTTTCGCAATTTTTTTTTTCCAACCAGATACAACAAACGCCCTAACGAGTGAAAATAATATGGCATCACCGAACTAAAACCTAGCGTACTGCTGACTGTTTGAGTTTGTTTACTTGAAGTAAATTTAAAAAATTAGGTACTTTTTACTTCCTAGAGACTAAAGGATGCATTTTACACCAGCTATGTAAGGCCATTATGACGTACTTTTAAAGCATGAAAAGTGAAAAACAATACAAATACTGACCACTTTTATTGTGACTTACATGTAGTGGAATTTATATAATTAATTTCCTGTACATACAAAACATATTATAGAGAATGTTAGTGTCAGCATTTGAAGATCCACATTTTTACTCATTGTGAAAATTCAAATTGTGTACTTCAATAGCCTTATCATTCATTTTATAGGTTGCAGCGAATGTGAGAATTTAAGCCACCTTGTATTTTCTAATTATAATTTGATTCACACTGTTTTTTTTTCATTTATAATTTTAATATAGTGTTTTGTACATTTGCTTAAATTTTTTCAAAATGTTCTCATTGTAGGTTGTTAAATGCGTCAGGCTTTTACCACAAGCTAAATATAAACATCCTTATGGTGGAATACCGAGGCTATGGTCTCTCAGAAGGGTCGCCTTCAGAGCGTGGCCTCTACGTTGATGCATTGTCAGCACTTGACTATCTCATGCAGAGAACCGACATTGACCGTACCAAAATTATTGTGTTTGGTAGGTCATTAGGTGAGTGTGTTTTCAGCATTTGATATTGTGGTGGTGACCTAGTAGTTTAGTAATTTGAAGTTTATGGAAAAACTTATTGTTTTAATATGTAATACTTGAATTTTATACAATACAAGGAATACTTTTTGCTTTAAATAGGTTAGACCTAATCTGGCAGATTTATAATTTAATGTATAATCTAATCTATGTACTTACATGATGTTCTATGCACACTTGGTTTGCAGATTGATAGTGATAATCATAGTGCTACTTATTAGTTTTTTGAAAGATAACAGTTGCTTATTTTTCGATCTTTACTAACAAATATTTATTTCAAGGTGGTGCTGTAGCAATAGATTTGGCTTCAAGAATAGAGTACAGGAACAAAATTTGGGCGCTTGTGGTAGAGAATACTTTTACCAGTGTGCCAGACATGGCGCAGATTATTTTGAAGTGGAAATGTTTGTTATGGTTGCCTCAGCTTTGCCACAAGAATAAGGTAATTAGCATAATTAATTTCTGTTAAATGTCTGCTGAGTTGAGCGTTCTGGGAAGTCCAGACAACTACCTTTTTATAATGTATATTATACAATAATTATTTTCTGTTACAGTATATGTCATTGAAGAAAATTGGGTCAGTATTAACACCCACTCTTATTATGTGTGGCTCAAATGATGCTCTGGTGCCTCCAGAGATGGCGAAGAAACTTTACATGAGATGTGGTGCTGTATGCAAGAAGCTCGTGGTGATACCTGGGGGCGCTCACGATGACACTTGGACCTGCCGGGATTACTACGTTTCAATCCAAGAGTTCTTAGTTAACGTCCCTCCACTACCTGATGACATTGGACCTTTTTTCGACAATGATCATGACTCCGCCGTAAGACATACCATAGTCCACACAGTATAATTAAAATAACATTAGAAAAAAATTATAGTTATGAAAATTATCACTAGAAATCGCAATAGGCAAGTAAATTTGTGTAATCTTCAAGCAATACAGAAAGAGTAGAGAAAGCGTCCCTCTGAAATCGAAGATAACAAAAAAATTGTTTTATTACCTACTTTTACAAAACTTTTCTTCTAAATACACCACTGTAGCAAAGTATATGCTAGTTACACATCAAAAATGTACAAAAATATACAATATAATAATTCCAGGACATTAAAGGAAACTATATGGATAATATCTATTTTATGAGTATCACTTCTTTGAAATATAGGAAAATATACTTTGCCTGTTTCGATCTCCGCCAATCGCACTTAAAGGAATATTTTTTTACAAATTGATAACATGCATTTTTAATATCTTAGTAGAAAATTGGAAAGGCTTACGCCGATTTAAATACTTCGCTAATATACATATATGTATAAAACTGCACAATGTAATGACTAGTTTCAATTTTATAGTATACTAAATATGTTCTTATGCATGGTACAAATTGCCAGTGTAAAAAATAAATGTATTTATATACAAACTTAGATTCTACTTATAAGTATATACTAATGTTTGAAACTAAGCAATAAGTAAGTCTTGCAAGATAGTATTTTGCGTTAAAATTTCTGTATAATTAAATAGTCCACCTTCATGGTTCTTGGCCAGTGAAGTAATGAACTTACGCCTACTTTTTCTGACCCAAATCATCACCTGTTGAAAACTCTAGTCCAAATGATAATAGAATTCCTAGTTCAATAAACAATTCTAAAATATTAGTAAGACAACAAAATTGTAGCTCCTAGTGATAGAAGCCAGAATCGCGAATTAGTAACGCAATACGTGTGTCAATTCCATGCCTATAAGTAAGTTGTTAAGCTGTTGTTGTCGTACAAAATAAATACACTAAAATAGTTTATTAGCAATTTTCCTATGGCGAGATGTATTGGAGGTGTTAGTGACGTTTACGTAACTTAATTATTATGTTTTAGTCAGTATAGTTATGATTTATTGAGGTCCAAATGTTGAACTCAAATTTGTTCTTTTTTTTTAAAAGAAAAAGGCTCGTAATTTCACTGGCATTATAAAAATGTATGAGTATTTTGGAAAGGTTCGATTTGACTTGTAAATATCATAATTAGAACATCGCTTGAAGGTTGCTTTGTTTATGTGCTTGTTTGTAGATGCGGAGGGTCACACGCACATGTGACTATATATTTAATGTGTGGCCGTGAGTACAAATCGATTCGATCGACGTAAAAAATACTTAATGTGTTGTCATATCATATTTACAGACATTCCTAGAAAAATTTTTTGCATTGTTATTTTTTACGTCTAGTATCTTTATAGTAAAGCCAGAAGTGAACATCACAAAATGTAAAAGTTTCTTTTAACATAATAGCTGAATGACTTAGAAGATAGAGTGAAATACTCTATCTTCTAAGAATTTCGTCGTTCCTAAAGTATGAATACGTACTTTCTATATTTTTGTCAATGTATAGATATTTTGGAAGGTTTTAATGTTTACATCATTTCGACGCTGACGGCATGTGTGCAACATTAAAATGAATTATAACGAAACATAGGAAATGAAACTAATTTTCCGGATTTAAATCGCGTGTATTTATTTTTAACAATCGCGAAAACCTAAGAACTCGATATATAACGAAACAATTAATAACAATTTTAGAAATAAATCAAGCTGTTATAATAAAATATAATGTGTTAATCAGGATTTATAGCAATATTTAATATATATATAACATATAAAGTCTTGTCGAGTCGGTTCCTGAGGCAGCTGCACGGTGCAAAGGAGTGAGTTTATGTAACAGTTATGTCGCGCTGCTCAAAGGATAATTTGAACAAGATTTTTCAGCAAGTTTATTGAAAAAAGAATGAGTGAACAGAGTGCCCAACCTCCTGACTGGGATGAGACCCAGCTCCCTTCCCAGGTTCGTGGATGATGGATGAGGCGCGGACTTCTGCGTCGAGGTTCCCGGTCCCTATCCCTCGAGCGGACTTGTTACCGAAACTGGTTTCGAGGGTGAGACCTCACGCACAGTGCCGCCGCTAGTAGTGCTATCGGGCACCCCTTTTTGGATTTTTCTCAAGTGATGAATTATCATTGGGCCACACTCAGCAGACCGACTACCATATCATTGTCCCCTTGTCTCATTTCGAAAGGCCGCCATAATTTCGCTGAAAGTAAGTAAATTAGGATTCGTAAAAATTTGACTTCAAAGTGACGTCATTCTAGTTTGGAAGTCAGAGCCACACAGATATAAATGTTATATTTGCGAAAGATTACTATTATTATCTATATTGCGATGTTCGCTTTGGCAATTTAGTTAAGTTATATTTAGTTGTAAGTTTCAATTTGGCTGTTTCATAGCAATATTTATTGTTAAAATACAGTTAGTAATATTGAAAGTAGATAGTTGTCTATGAAATATTTACATAATTCTGATGCTTTTTGTCAGTATTGGACCCCATTTGATACGCTTAATGCTGAAGCACATAGACTCGTGGGGTTCACACTAAGCTAGCAATAAATTCGACATTAGTTGAATATGTCTTTTCTATGGATTCATGTGTTTAATATAAATTAGCAATAACTAGTGTCTACTTTTCCATCTAACGATTCTAACGCGTTGTCACAAGTTTGATATTTTTGTTACACGATTTATGAAATTTACACCATTCCATGCAAGTAATAAACATATTTCTCAAAAAAGGCAATTTTAGCCAGCAATTATCACTGTTGCCTGTTATTGTTTGTGAATGCAATATGTGTCGTCGTTTGTTCTCAGCATATTCGATGTGTCGCGTGCACATGTAGTTGTGGCTCATATCGATACCTTAGTATCTCAAACTCGTATCTTATAAACAGTGATTATTCAGGGAGATCGCAAAACTTTCTATTTATTTCAAATTTCTTATCAAGTGTGTTAATTTGGATGCATTACCTTAAGAATAAGTACAAGCCAGTGTGTGAATATGAATAAAATGCGCTGTGAAATCAGCCTGCAAAATTTGTATACACAATCCATTTTTTGCATTTCAGTTACTTTGTGCTTTAAGATACGAGTTTGAGAAAGTAAGGCGACGATATGTAACATTTAGTTGCAAATAGAGCTGTGACTGCAAGGCGCTTTAAGTTGAATGTGCCGGGATAGTTGATGCACCCTGTAATATACATTATCCTTATGGTGATTTACTACTGTACCTTTTTTAAAATAGTGCCAAAACACTAAAAAAAGTTTTGCTGTATTATCATAATCAGCTTCGTTCAAAATTAACAGTATTTGCAACTGCAAAAAGTGCAAATTAATATAAAATTTCCGTATAATTTTTATGAATATAGATATTTTTCTAAGCAGTTGTTTGATTTTCCGTAAATTGTTTTTGTACAACTTCTATGCTTTTATATAATATAATAATATACAACAACTTATTTGTTTTCGGTCCTAAATACCCTAATATTATTGAATAAAACTAACAATAAAATGTTGCCCATCGAATAAATTCGTAGGTTTTCTATGTACAATTGCAACAAACAGTGACCAGATGTGAGAGAGTTAATCTACTTAAAGTATAAACGTTTTCTTAGTATGCACATTTCGTCATCAATATGAAAATTTCTTTTTTATTGTTTATTTCCTAAACGTTTCAAATTATGGTTTTGTCTCCTGTTTAAATATTTCAAATGGCCGAAGTATTTAAATACGCAAGTAATAACAATTACAGTATAATTTTTTGAGACAATTTGTAGTACATACTTAAAAGGAAACAATAATTTGTCGTCAACGTACTCAAATTTCAATAAGTAACATACATAACATAATTGTTTTAACCTACACACACATATCCCCGTACTAGGGAAACCCTGTATCGCGGGTGCCATGGACACACATAGGTAGACAACCAAAAATTACACCCAAACTCACGAGAGAAATAAATGCAGGCCATACAAATATTTGTCCCGGCCCGGGACCTCTGGGTGGCAGTTCAGTATGGTAACCGTTCGGCCACAGAGGCAGTTATGTAGTTTATAAGTAATACGCATATTGAATTATAATCAGTTTCGAAAAACACGGGTATAGTAGACGGGAATGTCCACTTTTTCTTTAGTTTAGCTAAATTAACTCCTTCAATTCCGATCATGGTAATAAATAACGAGCGGTGGAGAATAAGCTGAATTTCTAGCTAGCTCACAGCCTGTGCATGTGCCATATAAAACGGTATTTTACGCAATTTAGAACGATGTCGTGCTAATATTAGAAAGAGGAAGAAATTACAAGAAACTATTAAAAGCATTTTAACCTTATCGTTAATGCACCGATTACAATGATTGAAAGATTACAGTAGTTTCAATTGTAGCCATTTTATATTTCCCTATTTTACAACTATACTCCTTACACATGCAAGTTAGCACACCAGGAGTATGGGTGGGCCTGCAGTGTCTTAAGTTTATATTTACGTGCAATTCTATCCTGTGCTTCAGATCATTGAAGCAATCACATAGGTCCTGACCATTACAGCTTCCTGATTACGTCCTAGCATAACCAAATTCCCCATGTGGAATAACTACTTTAGCTATTCTGTTGTTTGTTACAGAGAATAAATAGGTGGGTAACGGAGTAGTAAATAATGAAATGTATACTTTCTTAAAATATTTATTTTTTATATAATCATGTTCATTTAACAATCCACGCACCATGAGGTACTCGTTAGTTTGTAAACAAAATGTATACCTAAGTCTTGGGAAGAGGTAGGACCAACGTCAAATCTGTTAGTACGAGTACATATATATATATATATATAAACATATATATATATTATATATATATATATACACGAAGCTAAAAGTGCATCGAAAACGACATACAATACGTACGCTGACTTGTCTTAGTTCTATGCAAGTTTATATCATAAAACATCATGTAAATAGATTTTGTATCTAATAATCATACGTAATCCAACAGTTATCTAACATTAAATTAATCTTTTCAAGTCTCAGCAAAATACAAAATATACAATATAATAAGCACGACCACAAAGACTAAGATCGACGAATACTAAATCATACATAATGCATTCTAAATAAATAAAGTCACAACGACGTATAAAAGTTGCATTTGCGATGTACAAACACTGTAGAAAATATTATGATCAACAACTTGTTTTAAATTTCATTATAAGTACCTACCTTATATATTATTATTCATGCCTGTAATCACAAAAATATTTTAGAAATATGTTTGATAAATAAGATTTTTAATATTTAAACCTGATTAATATTATGTCTGCGAAGATACAATAAGTAGCGGAAGGAGTGAGTTTGCAAAAAGGCGAACGGGCCTTTGGTGCCGCAAAACCAGGTGGTGCGGGACGAGTACATAGATGAAGATGCGATGCGATGCGTCCTCTCACCGAATTGCTCACGACTCACGGCCGATACCAGTTCATTATAGCACTTAATTAATTATTGATTTTTCTTCGTGTAAGCTATATACTAATCATACATTATTAATCATTCATAACAAATAAAAATAATCAAACAATGATTTCAAATGAGAATTCTAACAGGTTTAGGGGTTTTTGGGAAGGCAATAATGAATCTTGAATCCTGTACATTTTGTTATTATAATTATTATTACTACATATTACAAATCTTTACAGTTTATGTATTAATATAAAGTAATATAAATCACTTCTCACATAAGAAAATATTAATTCCGTAGTCCTTGCTTAAGTCACTAAATCACTATGTTTTAAATGTCTGTATTATTTCTTTTTTGCCTTCACAAAAACTCATTAATGAGCGTATAAATGACTGTTTCAACATGGAGTGCCGTACAGGTGGCACAATGGAGCGTGTGCGAGGGCGAGGCGGTAGCATCGTACCGGAAAAGCTCCCGCTAGCGACGCGCGCCAAACTCCACGGCGTCATCCTCGGTGATGTCGCCGTGCTGCCACAGGTTCAGCCGCGAATTCTTGGCGTGATCCTGCGCCGCGCGATACTCGCTCACCAGCGATGCCAGGCGGTGGTCGCGAGTGTTTTCCATGAGAACGAGACCCTCTTTGATCAAATTCTGAAACAAAAAATTGTTTCATACATTCATTTCTAAAACTTCTTTTTTTATAATACCAAGTGATGGGACGAACAAGTCGTGCGCCTGATGGTAAGCTACACGCCAGTCCATAACAGTTACAGTGCCACTCAAGAGCTTTAAATGGCAAAGATCTAAGGGGCACTACCACTGTGCCCGTCACCCTGAGATGAGATGAGATGAGATGGCAAATCCCATGTGCCTGTAATTTCACCAGCACCCTTACCCTTCCAAACTGGAATGGCATTACTGCTTGGCAGCAGAAATTGGTAAGGTAGCACTTCCCTGGAGGAACTCTTTCACAAGGAGCTTTACTGCTACTATTATTGTTATATATATATTATTATTTATATATTATATATATAATATTAACATTACTATTAGAAATACTTAATAAGTAAAGGGGATCACTTTACTTATTAAACATTAACACAGTCATAGTACCTTTCCCAAGTCGACATTCGTGGTAGGATCCATAAGAGTTACGCCAGGAGGTGAGCCTCTGGTCTCTATGTTCAAAAGGAGTTTCTTGTTTAACGTATCCATGGAGAAGGCACGTACGGCTTCCATTCGATCATCTGGGTCCGTTGGATACTTGACACAAGCAAGCACATATTCACTTGCATATGGTGGTTCACTTTCTGTTCCAGCGGGCAAAGTTGCCAATCTGGTGCTGTTCACAACCTGAAAGTATTCCCATGAAATGCGTGAAGTACTTATTTATTTTTAGCCTGTGTATAAAAAATAAATAGCCTTAAGAACTTCTTACCTCACGATTTCCATAATCAATGTAGAAAATATGAGCAGATTTGTCATCAGTTACTTTTTCAACTTTAGCTCTATACCACTGATCGTCTAAGGTAAAACGAGCTGCGCAAAGCTGTCCTCTTCTTGGTACATAAGATCCAGGCAATGGAGCATTAGCTTTGAACTCTTGGTGTATTTTTTCCATTAAATTTTCAAGCTTATTGCCCAAATCGACATTTTGAGCATAAAAATTGCCTTCAGGTGTAACTTCAGTAATTATAACTTTTTCATATTTGACGACACGATCTTGTACAGGCGCGTTTCTTTCTCTTTCAGTTTCCTTTTCCACTTCGACATAGTCTTTCCAAATGCCGATGCGTTTTTTGATAGCGTTTTCTTCAGCGGTCTTAATAGCCCGCGCGAACTCCGATGTTTCGGCAGTGTGGTGCATTGAAGCGAGCCCGTGTTCAACTAGTGAGACAGATAAATTTTCGTTGTCTACCCAAAGCCAACCAATGAAATTACCGGCTTTATCCATTTCTTCTATCGTAACTATTACGTCATGTTGCAAACATTTTTCTTTTGTGAACTGCAATGCTTCTTCACCGAATGGCTCGGCATCTTGCATTGGTCCACCGCCAATTGCTGGACGGGCGCCTCTTGGACAATTGACACCGGCAAGAAGGAAAGTGACGAGGACGGATTCTTTGGGAATGTAGAGTCTCATACGCGAACCGCTCGCAACAAATTCCACAGTAGCCTCTGTCTTTTGAGCCCTCTTAAGGAACGGGAAGAATTTCTTGGCCTTTGCTGAGTCGCCACTGGTGTCCTGAATACGGTGTGTAGGAATGTCTTTCTTGGCGTGCACACCAATGCCTGCCTTTTGTGCTTTCATTTCAGCCTCCAGCAATTTGTCGTAGTGAGAGCTCCTTTGATCATTGTCATTCCTGTATCTAACCACAGTGGCATAACCCTTGGCTACTAACGCTTCAGCTAAGTTTCTGGAAAGACATACGTAAAATGTTATTCATGTTTTAAAAATTAATTACAGTAAAACTTTCACTCATGGCCCTTACATTCCACCAGCCAATACAGTACAGCAAGTCTTTTCAGGGAAGTTGTCCTTAGCAGGCTGGATATAGTCAACAACCACATTAACTTTTTTGCCGACTACTTTTTTCCTTAGGAATTCACGAGCCTCGAACATCCACGGAATATCGTAAAGAGGTTTGAATCCTTTCGGCCTTGGTGATTGTTGCTTTCCATCTTCTGCATTGTCTGCATTGTTCCTAAACAGAAAAAATAAGCCTTTATATCTAAGTAAGAACTGTTATAACTTGTTAATAAGCTGCGGAATAAGCATAAGATAGCATTAGTTCATTGTAAAGCAAACTATATAACATTTTTAGCAACGGTTAAAGCATTATTATTATATTTTTAATATATATATACCAGTGGTATGTATAAAGGGGTGATGATGACATGCCTGGTAATAATAACATGACAATGTTGTTATAATATACTACTACTACTACAACTGTAACATTATGTACACTACAGAATTATGTTCTTGTCTATATAGTAGTGGGCAATGTGACTAACATGTAAAAAACCCACAATAATTAATTAAGCAATTTATATTAAAATAAATTTGTTATTTTTGACCACTTTCGAATCTATATACATTCACAATAAAAATACTTGTTAATGTTTAACCAAGAAGTATACATATATGTCCTAATATTTATTAATGAACATTCAAAATTCATTGGTTAGTGTTCTTACTTTTCACGGGGCGGTCTGATGCTGGCTAGGAAGATCTTCTTTTGTCCACCATTTGGTACTTTTACGACGAGTGCGTCGCCGTTGACCACTTCCAATACAGTGGCGTGGAACTCTTTGTCCTTGGCAGCGATAACAGGGGCGTTGCTCGTGTAGTTGGTCCATATACGAAGTCTCGCGTCCTTTGCCGCGCGCTCTGCAGCTCTTAGGGTAGAAGCACCTGTAAAATTCGCATTATAACTGCATCATGCTCTCATTTAGTTTCAAAATAAGGTAATGTTTTGCTATAATGAGCTTTGTCTAGTCAGGATATATTTTTCTTTATCAAGGGCCTAAGTACTCTCATTTTGCATGTTAACACTTTTACGCAGTACAGCAAACTCACCGGACTTCATGACAGCGAGGGACCAATCGACACATTTAGCGAAACCTTGTCTTAGAAGAGCTTCAGCGATGTTGCCTTGTGGGTGTAGGATAGTGCCTACAAAGTTGTTGTTGTTTACAGATTCCAAAATTACTTCAACGTCCTTCTGCAGCAACTTTGATTCGAGGAAAAAACGAGCTTCTTCTGCATAGGGTTCTGAATCGCCATCTTGTTTCACTGCTGGACACTGGTCACAATGTAAATATATTTGAATAAATTTGGCTTAATACATTAACTTTTTTAATCTATTAGGATTTTGGGTGTTCACTGCTGGGCAAGTCTCCCCCAAAATCCTCCATTGCTCCCTGTCTCTGGCGATCTCCCACCACTCCATAGGTTGGGTTATAACAATAAATGTTTTCTCAAATTTATATAATAATTATTTATCTTGTTTGATTGAATTTTTTTTACAGTGATAGAACTTGGCAGTATCTTAATTAAGTCTTGTAAAAGAACTACAGGGAAAACTTCTAAGTACCTAAAACATCTGTTGTAAGAACTACTCAAAATGACAATAGCTTAAATAAAGACTTAGGTTAAGCAAATACAGACATAAACTATTTGTAATCAAAGTTACCTACCCTGATACCAGACAACATCAGAGTGATTTGGTAATACTCAGGTAGCAGACAAAGCCTTACAGTAGATCCATCCCGAACATACTCAATGATAGCCTTGATGGGCTGACCATTGCACTTGTTCACAAAAGCTTTTGGGTTGTCAATGCTCCACTTAAGCTCCCGTACATGATCCTGTTACAGATAATAGAAAATGGTGATCATCTGCATATAGATAATGTTAGTTTGTAGCCTATGAAAAATGTTTAATATACAGGTCAATAGTTTAAAAATAAGTACTTAGTCTCACCTGAAGATCACTGCCCCAAATACCTTTACCCTGAGATTTGGCAACCTCTTCAATTTCCACTAGTTTTTTTAGCTGAGGTATGTTCCTTCCACTTTCTCTGACCTTAGCAAGACCTTCGGCTAGCAAGGCTTCAGTGACATTCTCATCTTTAGTAGGGTCTTTTCCTGTCCACACTTGACCATACTCTCTGGTTGCCGAGTTGGGTGGTTTTTCAGCAGTAAATATCACTTCTTTTCCAACCAGTTTCTTTCTCAAATATTCTCGAGCTTCCCACGCATAAGGCTCGTCTTTTGTTTCCGCGTCACTGTAAAAAGAAATTATATATATAGCTTTGTAACTGGTTGAACAGTCTTTGGCATACATGGTCACAAGTATTTTGCACTTAATAACTACTTAACATTCTAGTAAATTGAAACAAGTTATGAACGACAAGATAGTCAAAAACATATCCACTTAAACCACCACAACTGTGTCAACGACCCAAACATAGTGATGATGTAGGAAGGGTGAATTATAAAGATGTTTTGATTGTTATCTACATCAAAGGTACATCTATGAATAGTAGGATAAAAGACAACTAAAGATTTTGACAAAAAAAAATATATTAATAAGTACCCATAGCATACACACATTTCCTTTAAAAATTGTTTATACTTTTCTGATACCTACAACATCTACAAGGAAGAAAGACAGATTTTTTTTTATAATGCAGATTGTAATCACAGATGTCGCAGTAAATATTCGCTGGGCTGTTATTTTAGCAAATAATATTGTTGATAAACATGCGCAAGTACATAAGTAACATTGGACCTACGATTTCACTTGAGATGAACTTCTTTGACTACTTTTTATAGAGGTTGGGCAATACATAATTTTAAACTTAAATCTGCATCTATTCACCACATTTTAAATAACTTTTTTGTATATTAAGGTCAACAAACTAGGTAACTTATTTAAAAATTTACTACATTGTCTCATCAAATTGTCTGATTTTTGCATATAAAATTTCACTATCTCAACGGCGCAATTTTGATTGAATAAAATTTGCCTAAACGGAATTAAAGTATGCCTTAACATCTTGTAGATACGGTATAAATTGTAAATCTTGAGAAAATAAATTGGACAATATGATCTTATTACACACTTATTCTTATTATAGGAGTAACAGATAACATTTAAAAATTTAACTTATTCTTATATAAAATATAATAATGTGTCACCAGTCATGTTTAAATTGTATAACATCAAGACATAGCAATAAAGTGCTCTCAACACATAATTGAATGATTGTGGATAGGAAACTGGATCGCTAAAGTGGTATTAGGCATAAGTAATTTCACTATGCAAAAATAAACTTTCACTATTGTGAGTATTCCAGCAATTTATCTGTACAGATAACATTATGTACTTGTTAAATGTTTATTCATTTTTCCACACTAGGTAAACTATTAATTAATGAGACAACATGGTTTAACTGCAATTCGCGAATGCATTAATTTAATCAGTGACAAACACCAACTCACTTACACTTGTCATTAAAAAAATTAAATATTCATAAACAACATTGAAATTGTCTCTTAAACATTTATTTGATTCGTCAAGTGATGAAATGGTGATCAGTAGAGAAGCAATTAATTAGATAGAATGTTAGCATAATTCTGACAGTATCTAGGGGCAGCATGGTTTAGACACATATTACTTGTATTTTATGACATAAGTTGAGACATTTAAAAATGAAAATCTATTGTGGTATATACTACGAAACATATGCTACTTACTTGTTGGCAGTTCGCTGACGCGCGAGCTTCGGCGCCGTGATCCCAGAGAGAGCTATCACTTTCTCAGGCGGCGGCCCGCCTTGCGGCTGTCTCCGTATTACGATCGTGTCTCCTGACAGAACCTATAAAAAGCACATAGCTCTGGTATTCAACAAAGAAACTTAAAACTAACCTTACAACGAAAGGGCATTACATTTTTGACAATCTGACCGCCCGACCTCAATATAACAGCCCACATCAGCCAGATGGCAGTCGGGTATTATCATATTGTCACTATTTAACGCATACAAATTTTGAGTTAAGCAAAGCAAAGATGAAGAGATTAAAATCTTTCATATTAAGACCAAACAGTGGACGCGGTGTGGTGCCAACAGGGCAAACTATAGGAAATCGGCACGAGGTAGTTTCCATTACAGTTGGAAATACATCGAAATTGAATCAAAAATGTATTACCTGCTTCACTATTCCAATTTTATACGCAGGAGCGGGTGCTGGAGCACTCATTTTTGTTAGTTAATACACTGATAGAGCGTTAAATGAGTAAGAAATAAAAAATTACTGACAAGTGGGCAAATGGCAAAACTACCGATGGCGAAACGTGGCGGGCCGTCGGTGTTGCTCATGCAAAAAATAGACTACGTGGTTGTACTGATGTTGCCCTATTTGGCATAATTACTGACATTTGGCGTTCTAGTGTTGCCAATTAACATCATGGTCTACACGCAACACAATTTGTTATAGAGGCCTGCTTCTTATACCGCATTTAAACTATCGTGCTCGCTATACACGAATGTTTCGTCGAAACAATCGACGAAACATTCGTGTCGAGTGGCTGAAATGCGTTCTCACACAGTGTTGGGCAAAATTTAATTGTTCTGGCAATTAAAGATTGACAATTAATTAATTGTCAATTGATCAATCGTTAATCGCAAATATCTACAATTAACAATTAATCAATTTTCAATCTTTTCAATGTTTTTGATTAACAATTAACAATTAAAACTGACAATTATGATAAATTTATAGGGCATATTGCCAACTGGGGCCCCAACAGGGTCCCCAGCCGGCCCCCCCACCGGGGCCCCCAACCGGGACACAACCGGGCCCCCCATCCGGGTCCCCCAACCGGGCCCCCAACCGGGCCCCCAACCGGGCCCCCCAACCGGGGCCGAGGGGCGATACGAATAGGATGCGATACTCGACACGCGTAAGTTAACGGTCAGCTCGCTATTCGCGTTGCGACTCGCATCGCCACTCGTGCGATCGCATCATGAGCGGTTTATCGAGCACGAGTCAAACGACACGAGTTTTTAAAAAAATAAGGTGTATATACTTTCATTCGAGAGAAAAGTATAAACTCTTGGTACTTCATAGAATGTATACCTATCATTTTCGTAAATATTTTACAATGCATTTTCATTAAAATGTATACAAAAAAAAACGGTTATTGTAAATTCTCGGACAGCACTCAAATGGGGTAAAACAATTGGTTTCAATTTCAATAGTACATTCTGACTAAAATCTAATAAATTCCGTAGTTTTAAAAGTGGTTACATAATAATGATAAAATCACAAACGTAATTTTAAAAAAGGCAAAAGCTAAGTAATAATTTTTACTAAAATGATATGGATAAATATATAAAACACCGAGTGTATATTTATCACCGGTTGTTTACTTTTCTCTGAAATAAAAGCATACTTTAAAAAAAATCCATGACATGATTACTTACTACATATTTTTGAACACATGAGCTTAGAGCATACAGAACGGGAGGCACTATTAACGTTATATTCTCTCGAACAAAACTTTCTGCCACTTTTTGAGGGGCGGGCGGGGGGCAAGTACTACAAGCAAACAGGTGCACTCAAATGCAAAATTAAATTGTGTCACTATGGTCTCACACAAACAAAAGTCTACACCACTATCTTATTTTTACAAATACACAGATAAATTCCACCCTTGGCTAGGCTGGATGTAGTGAATTTCTTTTTCCAATTTTGTGTGTAGTGTAACAATGGTATTGTTTTACTTGTATTTGCCAGAGTAGATTGCCCATTCACTTATCAATAAATGGATGACAATAAATACAATCCATACAAAGTAATCCACATAAAGTTTTTCGCCCTTTCTAATAGTAATAAGCACCTACGACCCTTGTGAGTGAGCAAAGAAAGTCATCCTATCTCACTCGCTCCCACCGCCGAAATCGCCCGATTATCCGAACTACAACGAGTGGCGCGCTCAGTCACCACGGAACGGAGATCGCGCATTGTATCAAATACGTATGTCGTGATGTGAGTGACGGGGATAGCTATTGGAACCGAGGAACACCTATGTGATTTTGGAACTTCGTTCCTTCGGAACGAGTCACGGTGATACTGTTTGGCGGCGGATCATCGTGATTTTTTCATCGTGACGTTATTTATCACCCATCTTTAGCCTCTACCTCGCCAACCACAACGTCAACATCTATTGCGTGATTATATAGATCGTTGCGAGATAGCAACACTTTAAAATCACTACAAAACAAGCGATGGTTATCAAAAACGCAGTGACAATCTTTACGGGGCGTTGTGAAAAATAGATAGTTTTGCTGGGTTAGAAAACGAGTGATGGTTGTGAAGCCAAATAGATAGTTTTAAAACTACTACGCTAAGTAACGCCAATCGCTAGTTTGAAAACTATTCTGCGATATCATTACTGTGACAACTGCGCTCCGGTTGGCCAGTCCGAATTCGAAACAATTGACGGGTGTCGTCAATAGGTGTTGTCAATTGTTTCACAACAAATCGACCAGTTAACTTGAGCTTTGCTATAATGGACGAAAATTGCAAAATTATAATAATAATAATAACGCACACACAGTCGCGGTGGCCATGGACACACACACAGACAACCATAAATTACACCCAAACTCACGAGAGAAATAAATGTAGGCCATACAAATACTTTTCCCGGCCCGGGAATCGAACCTGGGACCTCTGCGTGGCAGTCCGGCATGGAAACCGTTTGGCCACAGAGGCAGTTAATTACATATTTAATTACCGTTGAAATTTGATTCCGTTTGTTTTGTAATTACCTAGATATGCTATTTTTCCCCCACACCACCAAATGAAACAGCACGCCATAGTTATAGATATTATCTTTATATTATAAATACAGAATATTTTGGGAATATATAAAGACGTACACACAGGTCAGTTTTTGGCGCTTCGTGCAAACGAGCGTCGATGTTTTAAAGTGATGTATCACTGATGAGTTACCAGGAATGTATGGCCCTTATTTCGCCTCTATTTCTGGTTATATACTCGATGTTTGAACACAACACAAAGTAAGTAGGTACTTGTTTTTGGAATATCTAATATTTACATAATTATATTCGAAAATTAACAAACGTTTACATTTTATTATACGCGACACCTACGTATATACAATAATATCTATAAAAATACTTACATTATCGTCAGTGTCTATTGTGCGTTCGCTGTGTTACACTGATCCCAAGAAATTTTCCACGGCGGTATATGCGAATCATATCTGTGTTTCAGCAACTGCTTGAATCAAAATAGAGTAAAATTGTTTGAAGAATATTTGGAAAATATCAAAAACAAATCATTGGTAGACTTTTATAACACGTTTGAAATTCGGGATGATTATAATTATGAAACTTAGTAAGAATTCAAATTAAGTAACTTGGTTTACATTAAAAGTGATTACATAATGCATTTGTTTTATTTCCCGTTAGCATTATTTTTTAGTTAGTAATATACAGATTGGTTTAATTTTAAATCTTTTGATATAATTTATATGCAAATTAAGTGACTTACCTCATTACAACAGATAGGTACTAAAATTAATGACAACTTGCACAGCAGGTTTAATAGACTGACCGTGGGGACTCCTCATTTTTATTATTTGTCTCATGAGAATTACGTTTACGTCATGATTTGATGTTTGATTAGATTGTAATCGTGGTCTTGAGGTGAAAACTTTACTTTTCACTTCGAGTGCGAGAAAAAAAGTTTAATAGTTTTCACTCTACAACATAGTCACGAACCAAAATTGTAAAGTTTTCGCGATTTGATCTTTTCCAGTAGACACAGATGGTACAAATACAACAACCGCAACAAAACGCCACGATTAGCGGCCTTTCGCAACTTAGCATTTTTTTTCCTTCCAAGCTAGTTTGGCAATCATGAGCATCTTCGAACGATTTAGGTGCTAAGTCTTCGAGTCACTAAAATGGTTCATACATAAACGCAATAACGCGGGAAAGAGAATATGGCGCCACTGTCTATGCGGAAAAGGCACGGAACTAAAACCGAGCGTAGTCATAGAACGTAACATTTTCGTGACGAAAATGGTCCACATACAAGCACTTTTTTATTGAATTTCCGAAGCACAGCGATCTCTGTGAATCTGTAGGTTCATTTACTTTGATGAATTTTATTATGAAGTATTCCGAAGAGATTCCGACAGCATTTCTCTGCGCTAGCGCCAAAACTGGCTGGGACGGCGTCCGTGCTTGGTCGACTATTGCCGAACCTGAAAGTCCCGGGAGAAGGGTATCGCCGCCTTTTTGCAGGGGTGGTCAGGTCCATGGCTCTCTATGGGGCTCCTATATGGGCTGAAGCTCTGAATGCCCAGACCAGGACGCTGTTAAGGAGGACGCAACGGGATATGGCGATCAGAGTGGCGAGGCAGCGTGCGTCCTCGCGGGAACTCCCCCATGGGACCTGGAGGCGGAGGTCTTAAAGGCCGTATACACCCATAGGGCTGACGCCAGGAGGGAAGGGGCAGACCTGTACCCCGAAGACGTCCACAGGTGGAAACTGAACGCGAGGCGGGAAATATCCTTCTGTGAGGTTGTAATAACACGGAAGGAGACAGCGGAGCGGATTAGAGAGGATGACGTCCTCGCTGATCCCCGCCGGCAGAAGAGGACAGGGCGGAGGCGCCGCGCGGAAATGCGCCTTTTCCCGCCGTAATAGGACTCGAGAGACGAGTCGGGGATAACTCGCTGCCCGTAACATCCGGTCCCAAGAGGGTAGGGCGACTTCCACGCGTTCGGGTTGGTCAGGGGGTCGGTCAGGGGGTTAAGAAGTGAATTTGGGGGTGGGTTAGGGGTAGGTTGGGTGTTGGGTTAGGAATGAGCTAGGAGTTGGGTCAGGGTGTGGATTAGGGGGCGTCGACCGCCGGAAACTCCCCCCTCTAGTGGTGAAGGAACGCGGGTCATGGTTCGTGGCGGCGAGGTGGGGAGAAGTCATCCTAATTGGGGTGTACTTCTCTCCCTGGCTCAGTTCCAGGCGTTCCTGGAGACCCTGGAGACTGGTGAGGAGGGCAGCTCCGACGCCGGTGTTGGTGTTGGGGGACCTCAACGCCAAGAGCGCGGCGTGGGGTTCTCTGGTCACCAATGCCAGGGGGCCAGAGTTGGAGGATTGGGCAGCAGCCTTAGGGCTGGTCGTCCTCAACCGGGGCCATGCAAAAACGTGCGTGCGGCGAAGTGGGGGGTCAATCGTGGACATCGCCTTTGCGACCCCCTCACTAGCCGCGCGAGTATCCGGCTGGCAGGTCCTGGAGGACGAGGAGACCCTCTCTGATCATAAATACATACGGATGAGGGTCTCCCATACCCCCTCACGCACACTGGGCATGGGTGTTTCGGTCACTACCTGCACAAGATGGCGAGGAGGGAACCGTCCCCGTCGTGACACGAGTGCGGCGCTGCGGATGATACCGCGCAGCACACCCTAGAGGTGTGCAGCCGGTGCATGAGCAGCGCCGCACTCTGACGGGGACTGTAGGGCAGGACCTCTCATTGCCGAGCGTGGTTGCCGCCATGCTCGATAGCGAGGAGTCCTGGGAGGCGGTGGCCTCCTTTTGCGCAGAGGTTATGTCGCAAAAGGAGGCCGCGGAGCGAGTGCGCGAGGACGCGGCGGACGGGCACCCGCTTCGGCGCAGACATACCGGGCGAAGGCGAACAGTTCAGTTCAGTCAGCGGGATCTGGACAGGAACTCCGGAGCCTGCATTGCACGGCCTTACTCGTCTGGGGGGCGGGTCGGAGGACAACCGACTCGCCCCTCCGTTGGCGTGGGAGCCCTGGCGCAAGTGGGCGCCGCATGGGCGTTGGGCAAGCTCCTGCCCAACCTCGGGAGGCCGGGAGCCCCATGCAGAAGGCTATACGCCGGGGTGACCCGGAGTATGGTCTTATACGGGGCTCCCATTTGAAGTGGGGCCTTATCAGCAGCGACTTCGTCGCTTCTCGTGAGGAGGCCCCAGAGAGAGTATTAGAGCATATTTATTTTCATTATTTTATGTCTTTCTATAGAAATATATACCTACTTAAGAGCACTACTTATTCTTATTGAAAATGTGCAGATTTTTATGTGTTCCTATGTTTATTCGCCTACATATCGGGAGTAGAATCCGAGTTTAATAGACGAATTGAGGCAAGAAAAGTATCAATGCCTTGCTTGATTGCTTTGTAACTTTGATTAGGGCTATATTACTTAAATGAATTAAATTGGACTGTCGCGCTATGGAGCATAAAAAGTATTGCATAATAAATATTGTATTACCAGTTTTGTAACTGAGGTACCTGTACGAACGATGAAGAGAGTCCAGATTTTGTATTATTGTACGAACCTCAGTACGAACTACTAAAAAAACCGACCTCAAAAGTCATTCATCCCCTAGTTTACCACTCTTAGAGGTCGAATATTTTCTTCAAATGTAAATGGGACCACTGCTGAGGTACCCTCTTTCCAACAAAAACAAAAATCATCAAAATCGGTTTACAAATGGAGGAGTTATCGCGTATAACATATATGAAAAAAAAACACAGTCTAATTGAGAACCTCCCTCCTCTCCCTCCCTTTTTTGAAGTCAATGAAAAAGCGCATGTCTAGCGCGCCATCCAATTTCTTTAAAAAAACCTATTGTGCGTATTGTGCACTATTTACACGATCGGCTACTGAAAGGAAAGAAAGAAAATTGTTTATTGCGCAAGCTACTGGTTGCTTTTGATCCCACCGTAGCTCAGTTATTATTTTAATTATTTTAAGATTTGAAGACAATGGAAATTTTCAAAAATACAGCTAAAATTACAGATTCAAAATTACATAATTGACAAAAAAACTGACTTTCGTCGAGTATTGACAGGTAATAAAACTTAGTCCATTTCAAAAAATTAGCACAGTGAAATTTGTCACATATAGAGTATGTGCCGTAGTACCTTTGAGTATCTAAGTATTTAGAGTCATACAACTTTTACAGAGCCATCAGACGGCTATGGAATACGCATGGAAAGTACTTCAAATACCGTAGATAGGCTATTTTTCCACATGGAAACATTTTATTTTTAAAAGTAAGATACGTCATTGAATGCCTGGGAATTGAACGGACTAAATGTGAAAAAAAAAACCTGTACTTTTTATGATGCCGATGGAAAGGGTCAGTCATCTTTTAAGTAACATAGTATATTAATTTTGGTACAGGATCAACGTTTTATTCAAAAAAGAAACACTTGAAACTGCAAATGAATCTATGGATTTAAAATCAAATGTTCAAAATGCGCTCAATTTCGCTGCTTGTAGATTTTCTTATCTTTTTATGGTGGATAATTGAAATAACAAGCATCAGTTCCATCGGAAGTATTAGTAAGTTTGTATAAAAGATTCTAGACTTTCAATTACTAATATTATATTACGTTTTCTTACGTTTTGTGGTGTTACAGGTTCGTGGACGCGCATGTTTTACTGGTGGGCAGTGATCTTATATACAAAAAAGGCTTGTAGATATCTACCTAATATTCTCTCCTCATAAGACCTAAAATATGCAAGCGTCACCTATACGATTGCAACATCTACTTGCAAACTGCAATATGTAAATTCCATGCAAAAATAGAAGATGTTGCCATTTCCACAGCATGAAAGTATCTTGCGCTATGGAAATTTCAATCGAAACATGCCTGGATTTTAAAATTATAGCGCAACCAACAAAAAAGGCTGTTTATAATAATAAAAAAACTAAACTATTTTCGAATACGAATTCATATATTGGATAAATGTAACCGGACCTTTTTATTGTACTTGTAAGATTTTTTTTTTGTAGAATACGAAGTAGTTATCCAGAAATCTTTAAATCTTTTTGATGACAATGCCATCGCCCTGGAGAAATAAAAGAATACTTTAAATATAGAACCAAATAAATGACAAATGACTTATTTCTGCACTTTCGTTTCACTTTTCAGCCCACCGATCGTGAAGTATGACTATGTAGCTTTTTTCAGTGTCGATAGTCACTGTTGTTCATGTATTTTTTAAAATACTTAGTGAATAACCTTAACAGTTTTAAGTTGAAGAAGTGTTAGAATGGCTAATACAGATTTTAGGAAGGATGTGACTATGCCCGTGCGCCCGAGAAGCGTATACACAGCACATTCTTACAACCAGGTACGAACACTATAGCTATGTGTATGAGAACTTGCCTGGGACAACGTTATGCTTCTCACGGTGATTTTTGTGAAATGTAAATTTTACGTATAGGAGGAGTCGAATTTATCCGCTTTTCAAGACTACAGCAAGTTTCTGGAAGGTGGCTTGGGTCAGGCTGAACTGGGTAGTGCCGCAGGCTGGCAACCCCCATGGCGCGCACCCTTGCAACGCAAGGCTCCTTTCTATCCTGGTGATGATATTTATCACGCAGACACCTGGAGAGAACTTGAGGTAAGAGAACATATCGATTTGTATTGGTGTGTGTATACAAATATATTTATTGCAAAACTCTGAATCATTGACTTTGCCTGACCCCTTTTAGGAATTAGTAATCAATAAATATAGATGTAGATACTGTGTTATATTCAAAGGGCGTCTTAATCCTTTTATCTTAATGCAATGTGCTGTGGAATGCTTTCAAAGGCAAATTGAATTAAAAATTGCTAAATTGAATTTTGTTCGACTGTAAGAGATGTGCGAAGTTTGCTTCTGCTTACACGGTCGTAGGTAAATATTTGTATATGTAGAAGGTATTCGCTATTATTTCCTAGGAAATACAAAACTTTCACATTTGTGAATATATGGCAGCTGTACATATTTGTCTTTAAAGGTCACCGACGTAGTCAGCGGCGCTGGTTATAACGCATCTGTAACTCCTCACGGTACAATCTGTCTCAGGTTGAGGGACAGAGTCAAGTAAGGCAATACATACCTCGTGAGAGTTTTGTTAAACTATAAAAAGTATTCTGAATCAGGCGTGATGGTATATATTCTGCATGTATGATAATGACATATGCATATAGCAGGTTCGTGCGAGTTTTTACTACGTATAATAATAATGAAGAGTAACGAGGAAGCTATGCAAACATTGCGGTCATAATAAAGCATAGGTACCTATTACTAAATCTCCCTCATGTAAATAAAAATTTCGTACCCAGCAGCCTATTTTATCATTATGTGTACGTGGTAGAGTGGATATGACGATCGATGGAGCTGTACGTGTGACCAACGCTAAGAACAACATAATCTTGGCGCTGTCTCGGTCTGGCGCAGCTGCGGCGCTGATCCACCCGAATGGCCGCGTGTACCACTACGGCTCGCGCGTCGAAATCCAGGCTCGCCACCAGCAGGGCAATAACAAGTGTGTATTTTGGTGCATATGGTTCCCTTCGTAAAATGATTGCTCCAATGGTTCCAACCACTTAGTACAGTGCTACTAAAATTAGCGAAGGAAAGTTCGGGATAATGAAACCTAGGTTCATTTTTGTTATAATTACAGTGATCTAATAAACACACAGTCCAGCTATTGGATAACCACAATCATCGCGAGAGTTAGAGTTAAGTTCTTGCCGCAGGTAGAGGTACGTTATAGACGGGGTGAGGATATTAAGCGGCAGCAATGAACGATTTAATTTGAAAGAAAATGAGTAGAAGTAATGGAACCTCGTTGCCTTGGTTAATGCGATAACCAAGAGTACCACAGGGCGCGAAGCGGTTCCTTGAAGGTAACATCGTGAGGACGTCACTTAGTGCAGCTTCGGCTCTTCGTGAGAGCAGCAGTCACGTTCGCTACAGATGTAGGTTTCGGAATCAGGATCTTAATTGTGTTTTTGTAGCAATCGAGTACTTCAGTGATATAATTGGTGCATAATAAACATAACATGGTGTTAGAATTGACAAAATATCTATAATAATAATAATATTGTGTCAGACAACACGGCATACGGCATTTTGTTTTGGGTAATGCCACCAATATTAATATAATCTTTGAACGAATGAAGTTACAATCTGGGCCAGGGAAAATAGTGACAGACTACATTAACATGTGAAATAAAAATAAACTAGCTGTTCTTGACAGTCTTTTTGACCAAGTCTGGTATTCACTTAAGGATTTGAATGTATACCTACGCTTCTATAATAAGATTCCGATTGATATTCAAAATTTGCCATTTACGAGGTTTAAAACTATAGTCAAACAAAAAGGTTCAGGACTAACGTCCAGCATAGTATATTATGTGTACAATGAAAAAGAAACAAAATTATTTATTAGGTCTCGTGCCCATGCTAAGGAAAGTCGCCGGGTCTATGCAAGAATTCGTGTCGATTCTACACACGTACTCTGTAGAGTGCCTCGGCGGCGCAGGACAAGAAATAAAATTTGTCTACCCCCGACACGAGGCGCTCTATCGCTATTGTATGGGGCGGGGTGAGGACGAATGTTTATGCGCGTGGACGGGTGTTGCTTAGTAGTCAACATATACAACAACAGTCTGTAGTAAAACGACTCCTACCTGGAAGACTCGTAATGCACTGACACACTCGACACACGTCTGTCCGAAAGCATTCGTATCGTGTACATACTCATCATTTTGTCGTCTGCAATAGACACATGTTTTCGTGGCTAGATCCGACAAAGTTCTTGTCGTGTACAAGACCATTCTCATCTTTTCTTTAGCAGACACGTCGAATTTTAGCGTGTACTCGCGCATTTAGGCATCAAATTTTTTTATTGAATTTTTTTATTAGACACTTGGAGATAAAAAACGAAACATTTATTCTCAAAAATAACAAAAAACATAATAACTTCTTCTTTTCCAAAAATAGTTTGCTCTTAGGCAGATCGACTTCAACTTGAGATCAACTTAATGAGATTCATGTTTCTATTCAGCAAACGTAATATGTATCATCTTCGGTGCACGTTCGTAATAAGTGTCAGTTTTGTCGTGTTATGTTACTTTTGTCAACCATCTTGTTGTCGTTACATAGGTATGCCAATACCTTAAAACTGAATGCTGTGCAATCATTTATAACGATTGCTACAGACAATCTAATAACTAATTACTAAAATAGTAAAGTGATATCAGCATCTTAACATTATGTAATACTAAAACAATTAATATAAAAAAACTTATTTTCGAGCGTAAAATCATGTGGCGTCCTCATACATAAACTAACAGTGCGACGCGGGCGCGGTCATTCAATTCAGACGCGCGCGTCATTTTGGCCATTGGATAATTCTACACAGCGTTTGTTATTTTCGACCTCTGTTACTTTTGTACCCGGTTTCCCCTAAATGTATGTACAAAGAGCAACACCTGGAGGTTCTTGCTTATTCTTCTCAAGGGAATCTGCCTTACGAATGACTAGTAGAGTTTAATCAGTATGATGATTTCAAGAGTAATTTGCTTACTTATGAAATAAACATTATTTGACTTTCGACTTTCAAACGATTCTTTTAATTTTGATATCAAGTTAGGGAATTTTCTGTGCACCGAAATTTATTTCCGAGGCAACCAGGACACCAAGACCAGAAAATTAGAAAAGTTGTTTCGTAATCAGGGTCTACGGGGATTGAAACCTGGGAGCAACTCATTCAATCCCCACATTGCCAACCGCTGATTATTCCCACTAGTTCTGTTATACAGTTTTGTTGACAGAACTAGTGGTACTTTTCTTCAAAGAGTTTTCAGGTAGGTGTAGTGTCGATAATGAAATGAATAGAAGGGTGGAAATATATACAATCCCAACAATCCGATTACTCTAATTGGTCGGATTTGAACAAATTTGTCCGTTACATGAAATTTTGGATGACGACTAGACGAGTACTGTCGTCGTACAAACGTGGACTACCTTTGGCCGTCGTCATTGAACGACCAATTTCGTCGAAGGTTGGCATCGAGCCGTAAATGCGACATTCAAATATAACACTTTTTCAATTTCTTCAAAATATGAAACAAGATTCTTATTATTTTTCGGTACGAATCATCCACTTGAATGAAGATTGCAAGGGATCATTAAAAAAACGGAAGACGGATCAAGTAAAAAATGATGACTTCATCAGGGTCTCCAAACACAATTAATAATTGATGGAATAGACATCCCTTTTACGGAAAACCTTCTCTGATTTGAAAATTTACTTAGGCAACATTTTTCCCTTTTTTAGTTATTAAAATCGTGACAGAAATATGGCAAATATTATTTTAACAACATTTAAGGTATACCAGAATCTGATGGTATTTACCATGTATTTACACAAATTTAAATTTCTAGTGGGCAACATCAATAGTAGGAAAAAATGTACTAGATACTTTAATTGACCAGAATTGATCTATCCTCGTACCTACTTTAAGATCTCTATGAATTTGTGTGTGAGAAAAGTAAGTAATATCTGACACATTTTAAGATGAAACAAAAATATGTCATTTATATTGTGGGCGATAATTTATTATGTTTGCAATTTGGAATAATTCTCATTTACGCCATGTTTTTTTTACCAATCATTGTCTTTGTGTACACACTGTAGTCTTGCCGGCGACCACCAGTACCAACAAAAATCACAAACCACATTACATATCGATTTGGCTTCATTAAAATTTCAATGATCAAGTTTACTACTAATCGGTAAGACTTGAGACGCGATTCTAAATCGTGAAATCTGACTTCGATGCAACTAATTCGTCGCTGATTTTGCGATAAACATTACAATGTTTTTTGCTTAAGATTGAAGCGGATTCTCAGTAATTATTATAACAAAATCGTTATTTTCAAGTGAAAAAACATCCATTTGACACAAGTAATATTTTGAATTGATATGTGACAAGTTAACATTGCCAGGTGAAAGTCGTTGAATTTCCCTAATATTTAATATGAGATTCTGGTACACCTAATATTCAAGTGGCCAGGAACCAGGGAAAATGTTATAAAAATGTGGGATAACGATGGAAGGAGGTCGCATCGTCACACAACTCTATACTGAAAACTCATTCACAGAACTAGTGGGAGAGAAATCTCAGTAGTTCTGTGAAGAAAACTCTATTTATCAACAGAACAAATGGGAAGAAAAGTACCAATAGTTCTGACAACAGACCTGTACAACTAGTGGGAATAATGGCTAAGCGCTAGACCAACGAGGTCGCTTAAAAATTTCTGAGATCTGTATCCATTTCATATCCTTCCGTATTAAGTATGAATTGAATTAAGGATAGATTGGTTTAGCCATTTGAACAATTTTGTAATGTGTTTGTAAAGTATTAAAATTGGTGGAAACATTTCAGATATGCGAAGATGTGGTACAAGGGCGTGTCGTTCACTGCAGAGCAGTGCGCGCTGGTGTATTTGGTGGATGCTGCCGGCACGCGTACGACCACCGATACGTTCCTTGATATGAGCCAAGATTTCACCCTCAACGTGTTCTATAAGTAAGTCACAGTAAAATTGTACCACTCGGCAGGGGCAGTGCATGATGGCGCACTTAGCGGCAACAAGTCCCTTACCTATTACAATCCAGTGTTGTTACAAATATTATCATCTGCATAATCCGCTTAAATGAAAATATCTGCATCCGCATCAGTCTACGCATTGATCGATGCTGATATTCATTACGGATATTCGCGTCGTGATATGACTTAAACGGGCGGGTGTTAATAATATACTAATCATATAAAAGAAACAGACTGCAAGCTGAAAAGGCAGCTCTGCCTTACCTTTGATAAATGTCCTGTATTATGTATGATTAAGCTTGGCAGATTACTTGATTGTATGCAGGGTGATTTTTGTTAATAAATGTAACACTATCATTAAAAAACTAGGGGAGTAGGGGAAAATTTTTCGAAAAACATTTCTTAACGGAATACTACTCCCATAGTAAGTACTCACCTAAGTGGGCGGTGAGCCAAAAAGTTTGGAAACCAACGGTATACAATATGTAATATTAATTATATATATGGTGTTAATTTTTGTGACATCAGTATATTAGCTTGCTAGGTTTTGTTATATATGTTCGGGATATATAATAATAGCAGTAATTTATTAATTATTGATAATATTTTATCTTGTTGGTAATAATTTACCTGAAAGGCACTCATGCGTGTGTAAAAGGATGCGAAAGTTTTTGCACAGTATAAAGATTTCAACAATCTACATAATCTCTTAATGGGTGCGTCTCACTTGTGCGAACATAAACTAATTTCACCATTCATTTAATATTATACCTCTATTAACTACCTCGGTGGCCGAACGGTTACCATGCCGGACTGCCACGCAGAGGTCCCAGGTTCGATTCCCGGGCCGAGAGAAATATTTGTATGACCTACATTTATTTCTCTCGTGAGTTTGGGTGTAATTTGTGGTTGTCTATGTGTGTGTCCATGGCACCCGCGACACAGGGTTTCCCTAGTGCGGGGCTATGTTGAGTGTGTGCGTTATTATATTATTATTATTATTATTATTTTTATTTGGACTAATTACACTTCCTACTCGTATAACTAAACTGCATGTACCTAACTCTTGTTTAATATAATATTCACATTTTACAAGAATATTTTATATAAAACTCATATTATATAACAATCATTTCATTATATTTATAAAGCTACAAGTTCTTACTCACTGATAGAAATAGGACGCATACTTCCCGATATGGTGGAAAAAAGATATTTATAACATTGTACGCGGATAGGTTCCAAGGCAAAGAATCAAATACGAGAAGACCTGAATGTGGAAAATGTAAACGAGTGATCAACGGCGTGCAAAAACCATAATACATGGGGCGAATTTTTGTGCACTTTTATAAAATACGCCTTGATCAATTTCCGTAGAAAGTAGCAAATGTTCGAAATTCAAATAAACAAGATGGCCGCCATACAAATTTCAAAGCCTCCTATCACGGAAACTATTAGAGATAGGTAGGAGATGCTCGAAGGAGGTTAAAAAAAATTCAAGATGGCGATTTGAAAATGGCGTCGGAAGAAAAACTTGCTTCGATCCGGCTATAAAAATTGGCATGCGAGGGTCTTTAAGAGTCCTTAATCATAATTTGGGGTGAAAAATTTTCGCCATTTTTTAATATGGCTGCCATATAAGTGTTTTTTTCGTTAAAAATAGCTGGCGAAAGAGATTTGCTCTGATTCGACTGAAAATTGGCATGTGAGGGTCACTAGAAATATAATATAATATAATATGATAATAATTTGTGCTCAAAATTTGTTTTTCGCTATTTTCAAATATGGCCGTCATAGAAGCGTTCGTTGGCGGCAGAAAAAAAATTGCTCAGATCCCTTTGAAAATTGGCATATGGGGGTCTCCAGGAGTGCTTGATAATAATTTGTGATCAAAATTGGTTTTCCGCCATTTTTCAATATGGCCGCCATACAAACTCTTTTAGTGGCAGATAAAAATTTGCACTAATTCGATTGAAAATGGACATGTCGGGGTCTTTAGGAGTGTTTAATAATAATTACCGGTCAAAATTTATTTTTCACCATTTTTCAATATGGCTACCATATAAACTTTTTTGGCGATAGATACAAATTTCTTCTAATTCGACTGTAAATGACATGGCATGAATATTTGGGGTAAAAATTTTGTTTCCGCTGTTTTTCGATATAGCCGTAATTTATTTATGTAACTTGCTTTGCTCGGACTGAAAATTAACACGAATAGATTTCTATGATTGTTTGATAATAATTAGTGGTCATAATATATTTTTGTAATTTATAAATATGGCCGCCATTAAAGAGCAATTAATTTTTTTTAAAACAAAGCTCCTAAGTGCCTTTTAAAGCTTTTAACTGCCTCTATGGCCGAACGGTTACCATGCCGGACTGCCACGCAGAGGTCCCAGGTTCGATTCCCGGGCCGGGAGAAATATTTGTATGGCCTACATTTATTTCTCTCGTGAGTTTGAGTGTAATTTGTGGTTGTCTATGTGTGTCCATGGCACCCGCGACACAGGGTTTCCCTAGTGCGGGGCTATGTTGAGTGTGTGCGTTATTATTATTATTATTTGATATACAACATGCTATCACAACTTTTATTGTTGTTTCCAATTTTTTATTTAAGTGCCGAGGCCGCAGGCCGAGGTCCGCGGAGGGCGAAGCCCGAAGCGTCCGCACGCCTTCGTATGGAGGTAATTAATTATATACGGAGGCGTAATAGATTACGAGTACAAGATCTCACAATTGTAAAAATGTAAGGCATACTTCCCGATGTAGTGGAAATGAGATACTTATTATAGCGTTGATGTTGTATCTCAACTATATCTGTTAGATTCCATTTTCTTGAAAGCTATGCCAAAGAGAGTATTTAGGGGGGAAAAAATGTCAAACTACTGCCGAATTTCCTGTACTATGAATACCAAAACAGCGATAATCCAAAATACTCAGACCAAAAAAACCAATCTAGAAATGTTCGTTTCTTAAATTGGCCCAAATCGGGAATCGACCTCCTCATCAAGCGCCCATAGTACTAACTGCTGTGCCACCGAAGAGCATGAGCACACCCCGTAAACTGAAACTGACCACGCGCCGCAGGCCGAGCCCGACCCCGTAGGTGGGGTACAGGACTCCTATTATATAAAGCTCATATTATATAACAATCATTTCGTATGATTTGTCAATTTAGATAATTTTTGTCACATATCACTTTTTATAAAAGTTTAAACCCGACTCGCCAAGGTACTTGTTTGTTCGATACTAGGGGTGTAATTTAATAAGGAGGGTGAGTCGTTTTCCGTTATTAATTAATTATAATATTTCAAATTATTATTGTTAGACACTGGATTCTTAGTGATTTTAAAAAACAAACGTATTTATTTTAAATCTTGACTGCAGCTTCCATTCAGTAGGTTAGGTGACCCAGCACATGGTGCAGAGACGGGTACCGCGGGGTTTTAGTGAGAAGGAGTATCACATAACTTCCGCCTGTATCCTCAGGCGGAAGGTATGATGGGTATTACCCGCGTAAACAATAAAGTTAGAACATGAAAAAGCAAAGCCAGAAGCGAATTTGTTTCCGTTTCCGAACTTGTTTTCAGGTCAATGAGCGGTAAGGAAAAGAACGTAAGATACCTAACAGTTACTTACTATACTTTACTTTTTATATAAAATTTAAAGAAAGAGGAAATAAAAACAATCATTTACATAAACATTTACATTTAAACTAACTAACTATTAAATCAAACTTTAAAATACTAAAATTATCACGAAAAGCGACCAAATAAACGAAAATAAATTTCACTTTTTGATTATAAATGTTACTAATAGTATCTATGCGTAGGTCAATGGTCTAATGTGTTAAAGGATGGGTGCTAACAGCCAGTGAGTAAGGGCAAGCAAATGTACAGTTTAATAATAATTTAGTAGAAAACACGTATGTCGCTAAAGCAAAACAGCAAACACTAACTAAAGTCAAGAAGGCGCCAAAAACAAACACATTTCAATTTAGAATTTAAATATAAAACTAAAACTTAAAGAGATTATAAAATATATACAAAAGAGATTTGTAGAGACTGCTGCGATTCGCTACATCGTCCGGGCGGAGAAAAGGATGTGGCCACCTTTATGTAGTGAGAGAGCATCTTGATTAATTCTTGAGAGGACGACGTAGCCTGTCGCCGCGAGTCGCTAAGTCTGCGACTCTAACCTCACTGTCTACCAGGGTAGACTTGGGCGATTATTACCAACTCCTACATTCAGACGTGTTTTGGGAGGTCAGCTTTGAAAAGTGGTTACTCAGGCGGAGAGGTTTCTTCCACTCTACCCTGCGTAGGTCAAGGTCATTTAATTCTTAAATGATTTATACAATAATTATTTTGGACGAAGCGCCTATTAATGCTAAAATGAAAAGGAGTGAGTGGTCGACGTCAGTGTTGGCAACATCGGTGTTGGCACCCATCGCAACAAGAGTTAGGAGACGGCTGTTCACGATCGCTTCGGAGTCCAGCAAGAGAGTCTCTAAAATTCCTGATTTAGGAGCTTGTCCGATATTCCTGATTTAGGAGCTTGTCCGACTAAAGTAACCCTTAACCACACTTCTTACAAGGCGTTCCGTATATCCTTTGAAAGATGGCGCGATAGGAGGAATAAAACTCACGACCCATAATCGTCGTGTCTCCTGGCAAGCTGTAAGCAATTTTCAGGTGTACGGCGCGGAAGCACGTGTACAGAGCGACATCACGTTTCTCCTTGCGTCTCCCCACTGCTGTATCTGTAGGTCCAAAATAGCCGATGCCAGTACATTAGAAAAGACGTTGCTGACGAAGGGTAGCCCTTTCTTATTGTAAGTTCGCAGTGCGGGGAGTCAGAAGGCGCGGAACAAGCATTTCCTGGTGATTGATCTGACTGTGGTTCTAAAACGTAAAATTGTAAACCTTAACAAAGTTCGTTTATCACAGTTTCGTTGTAGGCGTGTGCAGTCTTGTGATGAAAATTAATTATAAGGAGTTTTACGGCTGTTTTTCTTTAAGGGATGTGCGGACAAGATTTGTTTCCATTCTTCTTTAAAGGCATCCAATGATACCTCCGTACAATATCCTCTTCTGCTGTGGTTAAGTCTTCCGCTTTCAACGTTTGGGTACCAGCACGAGAACTATGAAAAGGTGGGAGGTGGATTATAAACACGTGAACGAATTATGGGAAAAAATTGGCTTACAACTAAGTGAGTACGCGCCATAACGCGGACTACCCTCAACCAACTATTGAAGCGGGTCGCGTTTGCAGTTACCGGGGTGGGTAACGGCAGGCGAGGAGAGGGTTGTATGAGGCTCTCGACTAGTTCGTCGGTAACGGGAGCTAATCTCATGCTTCGAGTCTAGTCTAGTATACTACGCAAGCGTAGACGGCTGCGCTTGCGTTTGTAAAGACATGAAGTACTGGATTCGCTTTTAAATTCACGCAAAACAGAGTTTACACTTACGCCATATGTCTGAGGTACCGCATCATGCACTACTCTGAGTTTCTTCTTTCGTGGATGGTATACACCCTAATGAGGTAAATACCAGAAGATGCGTTGAGAGGCGTGTGGGTGGGTACACTTTGGATATTGGTAACTTTGAGAGGAACATTTTTCAGCGTAACCCTTTTGTTTCATACTCATTTAAATTTAGAATTTAAATATAAAACTAAAACTTACAGATTATAAAATATATACAAAAGAAATTTGTAGCGACTGTTGCGATTCGCTACAATGCCTAAAATAAATAATTCTAGTTTATTCTATTAATTGAAATCAGTTTGCCAATAACCGGGAGTTAGATAAAATTAAAGAAATTAAATTTAGATAAAATCGTCTTATTGGTGTAATGTTAACTGAGGTTTATAACATAAGAATGTTATTAACATAAAAATGAGTGTGATTGTTAACAAAAATGAAGTTATAGGATGTTAGTTTATATTAAACGATCGTTATGTGAAGTGATTGTTATATTAAATAAGTTTGTAGGAAGTAAAATTATTCTTTTTGAGTCAATTGAGCAAATTGCCAATTTATGTGAATAATATTTTGTGATACATTACACACCCCTCTTACACACCCTTTTTAATGCAACCGAACGCTAAATGCTAAATAGAAAATTAATTTGATCTACTGTGAGCGTTTCGGTGAAGGAAAAAGATTGTGATAAACCTGCACGTCAAGGTAGGTTTGTGAACCTTCGTAAAACGTGTGAAGTCGCCAACCTACTTTGGATTTACATGGCGGACTATGACTAAATTAACCCTCGCGTGTGAGGAGACCCATGCCCAGTAGTGGGTTGATGTTGAATGCTAATTGTTTAGCACAGATTACCTTTGAAGGGTGACGTAATTTTGGCAGCGAGTCCCGTCATGGGCCGTCGTACGTGAACGAAGCACTATCACTGCTGCAGGCTGCTCAATACTGGCTCACGGATGATGGTATCGACAACTGGATTATCAACAATGTGCGCGTCAGCCAGACTTCTGATGGACTTGTCAGGTTACGTATTATTATGCTCAGGATTCCACCTTCTAAAATACATAAAAGGTCATTAACGACGGCTTATAATAAGTGAGGATTTAAAAGCACGGAACACGTAAGTATACCTATTCAATTGATTCGCCGCTTAAGCGCCCAGTTACTCAATGCGCAAATTTCACGTACATGGCAATTTTGTTTTCTGTTTGCTAGGCAACAAAATTGAAAATTCCGCGGAATAATGCAACTGCGCGGCCATCGCGTAGACCAATGACAAGCCAGCGCGCCCGCGCGCCCGCCACGATAATTTAAGTTAAAACGTAAAAGCTTAATGATACATCGTATTTCGCCATGACAGACACACGTGGTCGCTGTGCGGCGGCCACGCGGTCTCCGCGCGGCGACTGCACGGCGTGAACGCGATGAATGATTAAAAAATAACGATGAACACGCAATTAGAGAAATAGTCTCTATATAGCAAACATATATTTAGGAAATGAAACTATTTTTCCGGATTTAAATCGTGTATATTTGTTTTTTCAAATAAACCATTCATTTCCTATGTGTAACAATCGCGAAAACCTAAGAACTCGATAAACATATATTTTTTAAATCTTAATTTTAGTGTGGGTGGGTAAAATTTCTGGTTGGGATTTAACATTCTCGTTTCTGTGCGTTTTCTGTTCGTGTTCGTGCTGACAACTTGTTGTCCAATTGCAGAATCCACCGCTGCAGCCACAAGTATCAGTTGCGAACGAGCCCCAGCAATGGATCGGCGTCAATCACTAGCCCATTTCTGCACTGCACCGCTTCTCTGGGGCAAACCCAACATCTCTTTGTAAGGTTAGTTTGAATGTACATAATATATAATCGCTGGTATTTTTAGGGGCTTCACCTTAGTTTCAATGTATTCCCTCGAAATTCGATTAGACTATTGACAATAATCTTCCAAGTCGTGTGATGAATTTTGTTCATAGAAATTTCAAACAAAAATTACCGATAATTATTTATAAAACTGACATCCCTAGTGATTTATTGATTTGAAAGGACAGATTGAAAACATTCGAAATTCGAGAAGTAAAGTTCAGAATCTGAAATAGATGCTGGATGAGACTTGTACTAAATTATTATAAAATAAAATCTTAATGTTCTTTTCACCTACCATTACCTACCTACTATCTAGCAGTAAATAATCGTAAAATAATAATCGTACGTACTCGTATCAATATAAACTTTATAATAATTGGCTAGGTAAGTATTACGTCTGCAAAACCCACTTACCTACTTACTTAAATGAATTACCTAATTAAGTTCCAATTAGGCGACAAGGCCCTGGGCAAAGCAAGCATAAATAATGAACATTGAAAAAATGTTCTTATTCCTATGTCATCGTTGGTTGCTTAGCAACGTTTTGTTATCAGACATTCTACGTGGAATTTGATTAGAGTATAGGATACATATTCAGGAAATTTTAAAAATATATATGTATTTTATTTGGATTGATAATCCTTTTGCAAGTAGGTCCTATGTCGACTAATCCATAATAATTATTCCTATTTGCGACTTAGGAAAAAAGGACCAAAAGCAAATAGCATGAAGAGGGAAATAAAGAGAGCGACATCGAGTTTAAAACCAGAAATAGAGACGAAATAACGGCCATCCATCCATGGTAACTTATCAAGCAAATGGGCCTTATATAACTTTTAAATATCAACTCTTGTTTGCACTGAAATCACAAATTAGAAAGTTGAAATAGTACAGCGCCAACAACTTACTTGTATGTATATTCCAAAAATATTCTGTATTTATTGTAACAAAGATAATATCTCTACCAATGGGGAACTCTCCATTCGGTGGTGTGGGAAAACAGCAAAACATCTAATTACAAAACAAACGGAATCATATTTCATCGGTAATTAAATATTAAATATGTAATTTATAAATTTTCGTCCATTATATCAAGTTAAACTGGTCGATTTGAAGTGAAACAATTGTTTCGAACTCAGGCTGGTCAGTCCGAGCGCAGTTGTCACCGTAATGATATGGCAGAATAGTTTTCAAATTAAATGACATTTCGTTTTTAATTCTGGTTATATACTAGATGGTGTGCGATGATAATCCATGAAGACAATATTTTTTTATTTCTCGGAGATTCGTTCGTTACACCAATTTCCATTAGGATAGGACTTCGTGTTTTCTTATATCGAAATCTCATCTTAACTTTTTCTAATGTCTCCAGTCAGCCTCGAAATTGGATAGCCTCAACCAACTTCGCTTTTAAAGTCGTAGTCATACAAGATTGTTACTTAACGTAAATGAAAACCGTAAATCAATTTTTAAATCTTTGTTTTGTTCTTTCTTACTCTTAAGCGACAGAAAAAGTGCTGTTTTATCATTTCCTTTTAAATTGTTCTTTGTAGTTCCGACTGAAACTCCACAATATTCCGAAATACGTAAAAAAATACACACGCTTTCTCCTAATAAGCTCTTCTCCAAATAGTACATTTTGTAATAAACAGTAGTCCTTCTACATTTATAAATAATTTGCAATATATATTATCTGGTCGTATAGCCAACATAAAGAGTAGTAGATATTCTATATAATTCCAAGTCGATCGATCAGGACGACTGAAGGACAAAAGGGCGACTGATCTGTCGACAGCCAAGTCAGACGATTGCTGAGAGGTATTAAGAAAATAGTTGTTCAATCCATCTCTTACAAAAGACTTGTTAAAATATTTGTATCATTCCTGGAAGTATTAAAGGATACATGACAGCACCAAAACTTGGCGGAGCTGGAGGTCTACTGCGTGATAAGTCATCCACAACGAAAATAAATCAAATTTAGCGGTGCTACCTATAAGAAATATCGAGCTTCATGGTGTGTGGGAAAGACTATGAAGAATGTGGATGTTTTCTAGTTTTCGCAAGTTTTTAAGATACCCAAAGGATATCTTTCAAGCTATTGCTAATTAAACGGTAGTTTCACTATCCACACAACACAGTGCGGCTCAATCGGGCATTTGATGTCTCGGGGTGGGTTTTTTGCAAACCTTTTTGCAAAATCACAATATTCCGGCCGATATTCCTTTGGTAGAGTTTCGTAATAAGATACCATTCTAAAGGCAAAAGGATTATCGTTATTTCGTCTTTCATAATAGACCTCTATACTTCCTTTTTAAGAAGCAGAAGCAGACCTTTTGTTGACAACAAATTATAATAAAACATCGTGAGAATTGATGACAAATGTCATTTGCAAATAACACGATTTTCATCACACTTGCTCGTAAACAGTGTCATGACATGCAAAGTCCACCGTAATGTCTTAAATTAAGCACACGGGCTTTTTCATTACATTATCGCCCTATGGTTTTTTTACACCTTTTGCCGATCAAGCAAAGCTCAAAAAATCTAAACGTATATTTCGCATAAACTTGAATTTAAAAAAATCGGAACATTTGCAATTGAACTAGGTATATTACTAAATTTATTTTGAGAATTCAAATTCTGAAGTATGTTTAGAATTTGGAGATTGTTTTTTTTATATCTAAATACATTGTGGCTGCAGGCGTTTGTGCCTTTTATAACATTTTAGTTCGAGTTGTATTATCTATGGAAGAATAGCTGGTTGTTTAAAAAAAAACCTCTATTTGCAAAATCCGTAAATGTTGTGTTGTGAAGCGATATTTATTCAAGAAATAAATGTTTTTGTTTATATTACAAGCAAGTCTTTGAAATAGATTAAGGGCGCGTTCAAATTAGCCGCTGTTAGAAGCGCTGCAGACGTGCGCGTCGTCGCGCTGCTGAAGTGCCATCAAATTTTCCCATGCCCTTTTTTATCATGCAGTCGATTGGAATAACTGGCGGAACTGTTATCCCATATTGTAGGGTGTTATTTACATTCGCATCGTGGTTAATTTGAAAATTTAATATGTACACCTCACTAACCGTGACTGCAGCGCGATTGTCGCGCGGCCGCCGCGCGGCTGCAGCGCGTCTAACAGTGGCTAATTTATACGCGTCCTAGTGGATATAATTGACTTGCTACCTTTACAAGGGCATACATTTTTAAATCTTAGTGTGTTCATTCATAACTTTTGAAACGACGTAAAAGTTACATAAAAATTTTAAGTATTGTTACATTTTTAAAATTTTCAGATGATAAGTAAGTAGACCCTTACCAACGATTACCAGTAATTATAAATGACCGCCTCTGTTCCTAATACAAGTAATACTCTTAGACGTTCTTCCCAACCTTGGGCCGCGGCAGGAATCTTTTCCAGTGGGGTTTGGTTCGCTTCGCTTCTTTGGTCGCTTTAGATAATCTAAATTTTGGTGGGACTTTTGACAGACCTTGAGCTCCAATTCAGTCCATAGAGAATAGTCAAGTTGGTTAAGATCAGGATTGGAGGGTGGCCATTCTTCCGCCGCAGTGAAAATGTTTCTTATGAGAAAATTTGTCGGGCTTGAGTCGTTATCAGGCCTTAAGATGGGCTGGTGCTGTCTTGCTGGACAATCCATTCTTAGTATTAGGCGGGGGTTTCACCACAGTCTTTAAAATGTCAGTTTAAAAATTTTTTAATTTCACCTTAACGCCTTGTTACGAAACCCCCACCATACCATTACACTCGCCGGATGATGGGTACGCGAAACATTAAAGAAGCTAGAACATATTTGCTGCTTTTGGCATAAAATTTGTTTTGTTGGTAGAACTTGTTGTACATCAACAATAGATCACAGGCTGATGTAGTAAAAAATTACGTCTCTGGGTGGCTTATGGAGCCTAGTGGAGTCCCGCAGGGATCTTTGCTCGCCCCCTTCCTGTTCGCGATTTTTGTGAACGACATCGAGCATTGTTTTAAATCATCACAACTTTTATGCTTTGCGGATGATATGAAGATTATAGCGCCTATTTCTAAAGTATCTCATGCAATCCTGCTTCAAGAGGAACTTTTGAGGCTGGACATCTTCTGGCACCGATAACCAGCTTGATTTTAATCCCGTCGTCGTGTATCGTCGTCACTTTTAGCCGCAAAAGTAACTTAGTGCATTTCAACTACTCATTGAAAGATACTAAATTACAACGTGATACTGTGGTAAGTGTTCTTGGTGTGCTGTATTATCATAAGTTGCTGTTTGCTTCGCGTATAGACGCCTTTATTTCAAAAGCTTCTAAAGCCTCGAATTTCTGACTCGTAACTCCAGAGATTTCAGACATGCTAAGACACTAAAATTGCTTCTGGAGCCGTAGACTCCCCGGAACTCGTGTCGAAGATTTCTCTTAGAGCCCCTACAAAATCTCTTAGGTTTAATTCACTTTTGTGCGTACCTGTGGCCTCTTCGAATTTTCGGCGGAATGCATATTTCTTACGCGCGAGTAATAGCTTCAATGAATTGTCCAAGCAGTTTGATTATATCATATCATATATATATTACCTTTCTAACACTAGTGCTGCATCGGTGAAGCGTCTTATTAGTAGTTTGTTTTTTGGCGAGTAGGCAATTACTAACTGTTGCGTAAATGTATATAGTATAGTTAGCAGTTATATAGTTATAATTTAATGCTTATTTACTTAATGTGTGTCTATCGGTGAGGACCTATCATTGGCTCTCCATTATTATTTCAGTTTTTACTGTGTAATAGCCGGTGATCTTCCAATAAGTTAAAATTCGGATTAAGATTATGGGGTGTTTTGTTTTTTTGTTGTGCTTAATGTGCTTTTCGGTGGGACAGCGGTTAGTATTAAGGGCGCTTAATAAGGAGTTTCCAAGTTCGATTCCCGATTTGGGCAAATTTATGACACATTTTTAAGTTGGTTCTGGTCAGGGTATTCTGGGTATTGCCCTCTATTCTGGTACTCATAGTACAAGACATTCCCTAGTTATTATATACATATACAATATATACATTATATATATATATATATATTATATATATATATATATTATATATATATATATATAAAAGAGGGACAAGAGGGACGGTCGAGATACAACAACGCTATAAGTATCTTATTTTCACTACATCGGGAAGTACCTATGCTTTACATTTTTAACAATTGTGAGATCTTGTACTAGTAACAGGGCCTCCGTAATGCTGTCTGTCACGTGCCTTCATTTTGGGTTATATTTAAAAAAATGAAAATAGTTCTTTATTGACGGCCATAGTTAAGAATTGCAAAATTATTTTGACTACAAATTGTTATCACATATCCACAGGGCCCTAACATTCCGATTTTCAATCGAATTAGAGCAAATTCGGTAGATAAACCGCAAAAAACGTTTGTATTCAGGCCATACTAAAAATAACAACCTTGGGCAACAAGTGGCAATTACCTTACGCCGACTTGCAAATCCTTTTACCGCGTTGGCAAGCATTACAGTGTATGCCTTCGATACGATAAGAAGATTTGTAAACAACTTATATTCATAAAGCCTTTAAAAATTTTGTAGTCTAATGGGTACATAATCGTTTCCAGACGCGGTGAACGACGTATGCATTTCGACGGAAACTCCTTCATAGTACGTAATGCGGGTCATTCAGCTGGGTTCGACGATAAGAACCAGCTGAAGGTGTACTGAACCCGCCTCCCGCCTCCCGCCTCCCGCCTTCGCCTATGGCTCTTTCATCTCTTTCGTCTCAGCCCTACACTGCACGTTGAGAAGATACCCATACCAGCTGCCGGCAGATCGTCGTAACCGCCATGCGATGTTGTACAGAACTTAGTGGGCCATTTGAAACACACCATTGACCGCTCTTCCCCACTCTTGTATCTCTTTCGCTTCTCAATCTTTAGATTTATTTGAAACTCGTGGACAAGTCGTGTTCAAAGTTAACGGGTGATTTTTCTTTTTTATCGATGTCAGTGTGTAAATCTCGTCGAGAACTTTTTGATAATTTTAATTTTATATATCGTTCGGTAAACTGCCAAGCTTTTTTGTGTTGCAAATTTCGACTAGACTCGATTCATAGTAATTAAGATTACAGTTTCATGATTAAGTGTTAGATCATCAACGTCCCCCGGTAGTCTACCTAATAGATGATGACGATACGTCCTTTTGTAATTTGTTTTTTATACCTTTACTTTATAATAGCTTAGACTGAAGCAGTGTTTATCTTCATATATTTATACATTTGTTTTACACATCCTCATATGCTCAATAATTTTATATAAGTTTTGATCAGTGCGTATTTGCTAACAAAGGGTAATTTTTATACAATGTCTTTGTGTATTGGTTAATGTCGAGTCAAGTTGTCCTACAGCTATCATACCCAGTTAGTACGGTGCGCATTCAACAAGGTGTTATTTTAAGAAGACCGTTAATATTCCCTTTCAGTATTAATCAAACGTTTTGAGATCAAATGTAATACGACGTCTAGTCGATCTTTTTGGCTTGGCAGTGATTCTATTTGTTGAATACAATTCGGAAACGAAGACTTGCTCCATTGGTTTCTTTGTGTATAAACCTTCAAGTATAACGTTGTTATGAAAATAAAACAATGGATACTTCAAGTAATTTTTCTTTTATTTAGTAATTAGTATCTTCATAGCTGGTGTTGAGAAGCGTGTATTATTAGCGAAATAACAATATAAAAAGCTGTCCTCTATAAGCGTTAGTGGTTTAGACGTAGATTATAGAAACATTGCTATGGGTAGGGCTAGGGTAAAAAGTATAAGTGAATGGCTTCACTGTCAGTGAAGCCATTCACTTTCTGTTCAGCCAAACACATTCTGTTCAGTGAAGCAAAATCATTTGATGGCCGACCCCTTGGTGTTCTGGAACTATGTTAGATCAAATAGAAATCGGGATCCGTACCATATTCTAAAAAATACTGTATTGACAGGTGAACAACGTGTAGTGGAGTTTGTGAGATATTTCCACGAGATATTTTTATAGTAAAGAGCGGCCGGATTTGGATGTGCGCGAGAGTATAGCGAGCGCTGCTAGTGCTGCTTATGAGGGAGTGTGCATACATTTGGATCGGCTCCAGCTAGATGATGTGAGGAGAGCTCTGCAGCGGCTTAAGTCTAAAACATCTACGGGGCCAGATAGTATTCCACCCTTCGTTTTTAAGGACTGTCGAGACATACTGCATATTTATAATCTTTGCCTGGCGTCGGCGGTTTTCCCCGAAAGGTGGAAGCTGACGTGGGTAGTACCGGTGCCAAAGGGTGCGTCGTCATCTACCGTGGAAGGATACAGACCAGTAGCAATATTGTCGACGCCGGCAAAGGTTCTGGAGACTGCTATCCAGGGATTGTACTCGCAGATAAGCGCGCAGTTGACAGACTCGCAGCACGGGTTCCGCCCGGCACGAAGTACGACTAGTTACCTACTCAACTATATGGCTGACGTGGTTTCATTTGTGGATAGTGGGGTGCAGGTGGATGCAGCTTATTTCGATTTCAAAAAAGCTTTTGATTTAGTCGATAATGACGTGTTGCTACAAAAGCTAGCCAGTGTGGGATTCACATCACATCCGTTAAGGCTTTTTACCAGCAATATGAGCAACTGTCAGTAGTATGTAGATTACGCTGGGTAAGTGTCACATACATATTACACCAGATCCGGCGTAAGTCAAGGCAGTAATCTTGGGCCTTTGGAATTCCTGCTAGTCATAAACGACTTGCCGAAGCAGGTACAATATGCCAAGTGCTTGTTGTTTGCGGACGACCTGAATTGTATCTGGCAGTACAAGATCAGGATGATTGCGAAAAGTTGCAGAGAGACATCGACAGAGTGGTAGCTTGGAACTATGAGAATATGTTACAATTTAATACCGCCAAATGCGCAGCTATAACTTTCTCTCGCGCGCACAGACCCAGGGTGCACGATTACAAGGTAGAGGGGATAACCACATGCCAAGGGTGAATGAGGTGAAGAATTTGGGCGTTCATTTAACTGCATCCCTTTCTTTTCGAGATCACGTGTATAACATCTGCAAGAAAGCGTACCGTAATTTGGGTTTTGTCCTGCGCAGATCACACAGTTTCACGAATGTTAAAGCGATCATACTTTTATATAATGCTCTGGTGAGAAGCCAGCTCGAGTGCAATGCAATGGTTTGGGCGACTCACGAGAAAAAGTATAACCTTATGCTTGAGAAGATACAGAATAAATTTATAAGATATAGAGACCCTTTGGTACAATTGGTCTACTTTCCCGATCGGTCCACTTTCACTATTTGTCTACTTTCCCGATCGGTCCACTTGTTTTTCCTGATTCGCCTATTTCCCAGTTCGTCTACTTTCCCGTTTGGTCTCATTATTTTGTGACCTGTGGGTAAGCATAGCCACAAAGAATCCCCAAAGTCGGTAAGCGGAACATTTTTTAAATCAAATGTTAGCCCTCTGTCCATTTGAATATTCTGCTACGATCCCCTGGGGGGACGTGTTTTTGTCCACATGGATCCCCTAGGGGATTCATTTTAGTAGGTTTTAACCTAAATGTGCTATGTACAAAATCCGCTATTAGGAATTAGGGGACCACTCGCAATTAGCGACAACAGAACTAGTGGGAATAAACGGCGATTTGTGGATTCGTATAATAAAATTGTAAAGAATTTCACCGAAAAGAGAGATAGCTGCTTCTAGTATGAACGTGCTGCAGATTGCGGCAAATTCACGTACCCTACGTAACCTACACGATAGAGCGGTCCTATGATGCCATCGTCCCAAAATACAGAAAAACAAAACAGACACGAAAACTGATATCTACCTATTAGTGTATGAAGTCTTCGGTTGGTAATTTTTGAAGCTATCCTTAATACGATAAAAAAATTGAGAATGTTTTTAGAAAATTTTAATTTCTTTATACAGATATGACGAACAAAGATACTTCATTTGGCAAAGCTAAACCAAAAGAGATGGTCATAAACCCATTCACATTTCTTTGCAACTGATTCCCCTTCGATGCAATCGGTCTACTAATCAAAGCCCCTAAAGAAATAAAGTAAAAAAAATATATTTTTAAATAAAAAAAATTAAAAAACAATGAAGCAAATATAACATATATAACATGCGTATATATATATATATATAACATGCGTTATAACATGTTTATGACCGTTATGACTGAGCCTTCTAGTGTGAAGCATATTTGTTGAGTAGTATAAGTATAAGACATTTTTGTCGTCACCTTTTTGTCATTTTTCGAAATAATTTCAGTAGAAATATATGGCCTTCGAGATACATTTCTATACCTTCCCATAAATGTTCATACATCAAATAATTACGCGTTTTAAATTTCCAAGAATTATTCATCTATACATCCATCTCTATTATTTAGACAAAAGAAAGAGAATGAGGAAGAACTAAAGCCTCCCACCTTATTCGTATCCCCACGTGAATTAACCATCGTATATCCTCAGTCGTATGATCTCGGAAGTCCGAACTAATATTTTTCACTTTCCAAAAAATTGACATAAAAATCAATTTATTCCATAATACCATATAATATTAATATTATTCATAATTACGAAATATCGTGTTGATAACGTTTTGTGGTATTTTCGTGGAGAAAATTGGAAAAACGTAGTTTACTATTTAATAATTTTATTTGAAGTGAAGAGGATCTCGTCACATTAAAAATGAATACTCAAATGTCGCTTTTAATTAGGTGCACCACGAAATTAGTGTTGGTAATTTCTTACAACTAAGTTTTGGTTGATTATTAATAAGTAAGTGGTCGAATTATAATTAAGCGATTTAAAAAAGTTGAATTCTTTCAGACGTAGAAACTGCAGGTACTGGTTTACTTTAGTTACTTCTATAGTTTATGACAATGGCATTTTGCTTTGGCGTAATGCCGCCAATATTAATAGAATATTCGTCTAGCAAAAACGTGCTGTTAGCGCATATTACAATCAGGACCTCAGTGTCTTTGAGATAAGTTTAAAGAAATTAACATTCTGTCAAAGTTGTCACCTTTCATCTAAACAAACCTATTTATTCGACACGAATTTAATCGCACTTGCGCCGCCGCGCAGCGACTGCGAGCATCTAACTGTTATGGCAAAGCACGCTCTATTTATTTGGCTTTTACGTTTTAACTTAAATTTGCACCCCGGGCGCGGCGGGCGAGTGTGACTTGACTTTGGTCTACGCGGCGATCGCGCGGCGACAGCGCGGTTGTATTATTCAGAGCAATTTAAACGTTGTTGCCTAGTAAATAGAATTCAGATTCGCCATTAATGTACGTGAAAGCGTGGTAACTGGGCGGCCGCACGAAAACTTTGACGTCGTGTAACTGGGCGCAGTTTCTTACTTAGTATTTCCTACTATATCTTTCTAATTTGTGCTTAGTATTCTCGGGAAAATCTGCATTGAGAATGAGTAGTAGCGTTAAATCAATGTGACTGTTTCAAGTGTAATTTTCTTACCTATGAAATAAAGACCTTTTCACTTTGATTTATTTCTTATTGACCGATTTAAAAAAAGGAGGAGTTTATACGTTTGGCTGTTTTATGTGTTCCAATTTCTCCGTCAATTGTGGACCGATTTTCAAAATTCTTTTTTGGTTAAAAGGGTGCACATTGTCACCAAGTCAGAATCTGATGAGGGGATCCCATGAAAATCGAGGAAAATCCTCAAATTTTATGGGCATGTCAGTAATTACCGATTTCTCCATCGATTGTGGACCGATTTTGAAAATTCTTTTTTTGTTGGAAAGGGTATATCCTCGAGGTGGTCCCTGATGCCGACGACGCTGTTTCGGGTTCGTTTCAGCTATCACAAATTACTAATTATTTTCTGAAAAGATCCCGTGGAAATCGAAAAAAGCCGATAAGCAAACTTTTGAGGTGTTTTTTTAATGAAAAAGTTACAATTATTATCCAGTTCAATATAATTATTAGATACAACGTCGCGACAGAGGCATAAGGACCTATAAGAATTCGTACTCCTGACAGTGGCAGCACCCAGTAGGAGCATGAGGTGGCGGTCCCCCGCAGACTACACCAAAAAGAGTGTAGGCCCCGGTACACTTCCCTGGGGCACTCCATAAGTACTACATAGGGCGCACTATAAGTTACCGGAACTGGCCACTTACATAAGCAATATTTAAAAGTAATTACAACATTTGAAAATGGAACTCTTTGACTGTAGAATACAGTTTGTTTCATCAGACTGTCACTTGTTTTTACATTGTGGCGTCATTTTAGAAATTGTAAAAAAAAAGTGAAAATTTTCGTAGTATGATTTTCTACAACTTTAAGTGTAATTTAACAGTTCAGCGGAGCTTCGCTTGGCTTCAAACTGCTTTTGGCGATGACGCACCATGCAAGACGACTATTTACAGCTAGTTTGCAGAATTCAAACGCGGTCGTGTGAATCTCAGTGACGAATTTCGTGATTGTCGCCCGTCCACTGCTGTGATCAACAAGACATCGATGCTGTGCGCCGTATGATCAAAACAGACAGGAATGTGCCATACCATGAGATTCGGGCATCATTAGGCATAGGCATAAGTCAAATACAATCAATACTACACAAACATTTGGTTGTGAAAAAGCTGTGCTCTCAGTGGATCCCATACAATTTACTGCTCTACTCTCGATCTCCGTCCGACATCCGTCCGAAAACATTTACTGTTAAATAAGTAATATTCGACAAAATTAAAAGACAAGTATCAAGAATGAAGCTCCATTCGCATCACGCGTCTTTTCATTTGGTTTTGGTATTGCTTATTTGGCAGTAATTGTTTCAGACGGATATTGGACGGAGATCGAGAGTAGACCCCCAGTTATGCGGTCAACGATTTTCATCACCTGACGAGGCTGTCTGTGAAAGGCTGTGTGTGAAATTGTTTCAGAGATTGTCACGGAGGAGTGGTATGTTTTTAAAAATTGTTCATTCATATGAAAAAGTGCATTAACGCTATCGGAGAATAATTTGAGAAACAAATTAATTTCTGACCATTTATAGTAATTTTTTCTTATTCATTCCGGAAACTTATAGTGCGCACCACGTATCATAGATATAGGAGTACTATACTCGGTGTCAATGTGGCGGTTACCTGTTTTCTCACTTATTTTTCTAGTTAAAGTAGTTCTTAAAACGTGCAATGTCGGTAACAATCTTCAGAAATATAGTATATCAATCTTCAGAATAAGAATGTTGAAAGTAGTATAAGATTTTAAAAACCAGAAACATTTAATTACTCTCGTTGCGATAACGCTATTGATGAAACATATTGTTCTTCAATCACTAAGGAGTACCTAGTCACGGCGAATTCATGAGTTAAGATTTTTCACAGCATGGTATTGATCGACTTAGTGGATGCTTATTATAATATTTTAGAGTATACGTGACACGGACGTCTGAAGGGCGCATAATTAATGGTGAAGGCTTGAAAAATTATACTTTTTTATATATTAGGTAACTGAGAAAAACATTGAAAGAATTTATTTTCACCTGATCTCGTAATGAGGCTCTGCTTATGTTGTTATTTTTCCACCACACAAAACCAAACAAAACCACACAAAGTATACTTTTTTCTTATTTCCGAATGGAAGGTTTTGCT